TTACAGAGAACATAAATTATTGTAATGCATGCACACAAAACATACTGTTAACACAAGCATGCTCAAAACAAAAATAGAGGAACAATGCTACTTCTAGTTAAATCACTATGTCTTGTAAGAAACAACAAAGATAAAGACAGAAGAGAAATATGTGCTTGGTATGCGTGGAACTCTACCAATCATACTAAAACACACATTCCAAAAACTACAAACAAAAGACAACTAGGAAATTCAAAATATCAAGCCGTCAAAATCGATCTCCAGAAATATGAAACTGGCTTTTCATATTTAGCCGATGATAGCATTTCAACAGACATGTTCTTGAAAGTAAGCAGCAGAAAGTAGCACACAGTGCTGTAGCATGAAAGCCCAGCATGTGGGGCTTTCCTGGTTACAGTGCCATCACACGCCAAGATTTTGTAGTGCTCTTCGTCTAACACTGTGTCTGTCGGCAGCACTCTGATGTCTCAAGCAGAATAAAACAAAAATAATGATATCTTCTGGCGATGCCAGACTATAGACTGTAACACTAGCAATGAAAGAAGTAGCTTTGGCATCTTGTACATTTAAGCCCCCATCCCAAAGAGGATACAATAGGAAAAGAGGTGGTCCAGTCTTCAACTTACAGAAGGCAGCCCCATTCCTCCCCCTACGAAAAAAATTAAGATTTCTTTCGATACCCCATTCGTGCTGCCCACATTGCTTTATTCAAGGAGAAACAGCCAGGTACTGTGCATTCAGGCAGGGTATTAAACAGAAGACATTGTTAAATGCCCTTCCTGAACAAATTCATAGTTGCCCGTCCTATGCTGGGCTGCCTTACTGACCCTACATATTCAATATGTTTGCATTTCCAAAAGACGTGATGTCATTGTACCTTACTAATGAAGCTAGAAGTGAAAGGCTAGCCAATCTAACTTGAACACTGTTTCCCATTCACTTTCTTTTTCACAGTTGTTGTGGCATGCGACTTGCGCAGAGATGATATGTAAGCTCCTTAAAACTGCTAAACTTGTTCCGATCCCAGAAACATCAACACTTTTTTTCAATGCCTCGCATGTAAGAAAAGTGAACAAGTTAATAAACACAACCCTAGTAACCCAGTTAAATACGAACGAAAATAAAAGATGTGCTGCAGTGGTTTTCACTGAAGTTAATCCTCCAGTGCTTACAAAACTGTGTATTGCCTCTCTTGTGGACAGCTACTGCAAGACATCACAAAGGCAAGATTAGAAAGCCAACTCACTGTAAAGGAACCCCCATTAGTATTTTACTTTTGTCATGAAGTATTCTACAATAGATGTACCTTATAGTATTATACCTCTTCTAAGCCATGAATGTCATATGGTGAACTTTTGCAGATAGCGAATGTAGCATGCCAAGCCTTTTTCAGCAATAGGTGAACATTGTACTTTGATGGCAAAACTGATGCATTGACGATGTGTTTCAGTGATAACCAGTTCTTATTTGTGAATTATTCTAAAAAAGTCTGCCATTACAAAAGAGAAAAAGCACTTTGTGCAGAAACTCGATCAAGTGGCTATCTTACAGGTACATCAGTAATTTTAAAGTACGGCCCTCTGGGTTGCTGAAAAAACTGATTTTTTTCTTGTAATGCAGATGTATACTCTGAAATTATTGAGCACTCAAAACTTTAGGGCAAGTTTGGCCTGTAGTTTCTGGTTTTGTCACATTCATGTGGAGAGGTTTAGATTGGCTTATTGCAGATTTTCTGGTTATAAAGAGCTGTTGCTTTGCGAGTTCCAGCATATTCCAGTGTTAAAAGGAACACTGAATTACCATACTCAAACTAAGTACAGCTCAGATTGTAATGCGCGTGAAAATATATAATTAAAGAATTATAGGCCTACTTAACTTTAAATATTGAGAAATGTTTCGCATTAGCTTCACAAATTCCAGTTGCGTTAGCATAATAAGTATTTTACCAGCTTGTTATAAGGGAGGACACTATTAGTCGCTTGTTGCCTGCTCCTCGCTTTAAGCATCCTATCAGAGGAGATCTCCTCCTTAAAGAATTATTTTTCAAGTAAACATTGAGCTGAATGCAGTACAGTTGTAACTGTCACTTTCGAGTGCTTCAAAAAGATGGCAATGATAATATAGAAAAAATGTGTTCCTACTAGCACCCCTAATTTGTACTAAATGAGTGAGGAACGCTACAGGAAGATACTTAGTGATACTTAATGCAGCTACTCAACTCTCTTGCACCATCTTCACATGCTACTGTGCTTGTTTTTTCTGACTAAACTCGAGCACAGTAAAATGCCTCAAAAAGCAGAATCTCACAGATTTCTAGAAAGTGCAAGGATGAGTTACGAGAGCCTCTCAAAATGCAAAACACTCATTGCCTGGAGGACAAAGGGACGAAGGACAAACAAAAAGAACTCGGCTGCAAAGACAACAAAAAGCAAAGGGTATAGCCAAGTATGACAGCTTTTCTTTGAATATTGTTCAACAAGTGCAGACGGGAAAGTGGGACATAAAGACAAACAGGCGACACTCCAGAAAATAACACTGGAATCCAAGTTACAACTATAGGATTCTTTATTCCTGCAAAACTTTTCTGATGCATCCACAGTAACTGTTTTAACACTGCAGTCACAGTGAAAATGTAATAAATAAAGAGTTTATGCAAAGCCTTACGTCACAGCATTTTCTTTACACTCACAATTGTGCCATATGTGTAGCAAAATATAAAAGGAGCGTGAAAGGTAGTGTCTATGAATATATGACGACCAGAGACCAGTGGATTACGACTAAGGAACGGAATAGAACCCACACATTTTAGTTAAACATGCTTGTGAATGCTCTGAAACAAACAATAAACATTCATGCACTTTCACAAACTTCACAAGTTGCACAAACATGGCAACTTGAGGAGACAGCTAATTTCATGGATTGGTGGCTCGCTCAATTTACGAGACCACATGAATAGGCCTGATTATTTTGCTTTATTTGCCTGGAATCTGTGTACATGGTTATTTTCTACAGCACAATGATTACCTCTGAATTCACTATGCTTTCAATTCTTTGCGGCAGCTTCAGCGATTGTTACCCGTTACCCTAATAATGAACTGCACAGATGACTTCAAATGTATTTTAAAAATGTCATGCAGAGGCCTAAACAAAACATAAATTGTGGAATACAGGAGAGTAGACCCAAGCACAAAAGCCTGTGTAAGGTAATTTTTAAACATCTCGCTGCATTGCACACTGATTAATGTACATTTAAATTAAACCTTTAGCCAGATGTCAAGTTTTGCACGAAAATTCTAACATACATTAAAAAGGTATGAATGATCATTGGTAACGCAAGCGAGGGTGATTTGCGAACTGAGCGTGTTGATCCAAAATGACCAACCAAATGACCAAATGACCAATGCAAATACAGAATTACGACGCCATGTTAGTCCTCACATTTTGTACCCATCTCCCTTTTGCCCGTGAAGGCTCTGTTTATGCTAACTGATCTAGTTACGATCTTAGTTCAGTGTTTGCCCCGCTTCCATTTAATTGATTCACGTGACATGTTTAACGGCAGACTTCAGTTCAATACTTATTGGGCACATTGTAACAATAGCCTTAAAATGACTTGTTGCATAATGGTTTCATTGCAGATTAGTTGCTAGTAGTGTAATCTGATATGTGACACTGAAATCCACAGGCCTGATTGGAAATTCGGCATGTAATGTGAATTCATCTTTAGAAGCACACTGCTCCATGTTGTTAGGCAAGCCTTGCATCGCAGAAAAGCTACAGACACTGCAGGCAGAAATAGTAGCATCACGAACTTCTGTTGCTGCCTGCGCAACTTGCGATAGTGTCCATGAAAGCGCTCAGCAGGCACACACATGTCAGTAGGCAAGTTGACCAAGTACGCACTTCAAGCTTGCTATCTTCAGTTCAAGAAAAACAAATTGCACTGGGTAGAATGGTCTCTTGCATCAGCAAACACGAAACAAAATGATAAGCAATTGAAAATAATTTTGCCAGAAACCTTGGCATCACAATGCACAGGCCAAAATATCTTTCATGGCATAGCATTGATTTAAAAAAAAATGCAAACAACACCCCCAGCAAGCTGACAAAGGTGGAAGCAGGCATTTCCAAGTTGTTCTTTGAAGTCGTGCAAGTTTTACAGAAATATCTTCAAGTCTTGATTGAGGTGCGCACTGCTTCAAAAAAAAAAAAAAAGACTATCGGTGAAAATATGAAATCTAAGCCGCCCTTAGTCCTGTCAGTTCACAGTTCGTCTCTCTTCTTTGAATGCACAGCGTTAAATATTCACAGCTATGTAAAGTGGATCAATGCCTCTACCACCTCTGGTGTGCTAGCGTGGGTATCCAAATCGCGTGCAAACATGCACGATTGCCGCATAATAACCAAGGAGGGGAGAAAACCAAAAAGCAAGCTGACAAAAGAGTGCAGCGTTGTGACACACACTTTGTGACTACTGCACATTCCTCTACTGCATCAAAGGTGTCCTGGCCGACAGCTCTTTGGCATCTGGACTGTCTGTCGTCGTCTCGGGGGCAGGGTGAAACATCGGCCGTGAGTCAACGTGCACACATCACACACACACATACACACACTGGAGCAGGCAGGCTCAGGAGGGGCAACCTGAATACGGTGCATACACGGTCGGCGATGCCAATGCGCCTTGGTGTTGGCAACACAAACTTGCAGACATCTCAGGCGCTAATCACACAGAATAGGAAGTGAAAAAGCAGTCAGTAAACAATAATGTGGCGAGCAGTTCTCCTATGCCGTGGAGGGAATCCCTTCTACTTTGAGAAGGTGACTCGCGAAGGATAGCGCACAGTTCTTTCACCCTGATCAAAAGACGCACCCATGTTGGCGGGGAAAGCAGCAACCGTCTTGCAGAGCACACACACACACACAACAAACAACGGGAGGGCATTTGGGAAAGGGGCAGCAGTGCAGGGGGGTCACGAGGCGATAGTGAGCAGTTCTTTTACCTCGAAAGGCTCATCATCGTCAAGGTCAACCAGGCTGTTGGGGTGGTTGTAGTTCTGCAAGTCGGTCTTGCGTACTGTCCGCCCCGTAGGGTCAAATGGGTCAACCACTACCTGCTCGGTCCCTTTGATCTCTGCTCGGCAAAAGGGGCAGCCTTGGCCTTCGGAATCCTGGAACGTGAACAATTACAAGGTGGACAGGCTTGTTTTAGATCCAGAACAAAAGGGAGTGACAACCAACTTTTTATATGATGCCTGTTTTCTTTAGCGCAATAGAAAGCTCACTAGTCAGTGTCTTTAATCATAGAATGGTAATGTGGTAAACACTGTGAAAAGTTGTTTGATCAGAATTCTTCTATCTGCAAGCAGTAATGAAAGTCCTACATGCATTCCATGCTTCAGAATGTGGTACTAGGTGAGCACAATGAAAATTTTTGTTGGTATGCAGCGTTTCGCTGGACAAGCACCTCGAAACAACATGGTCTTCGTAGTTGCCATAAAGGCAGCACCGCTTCTCAACATCAACTCCATTTGCCTCATTAAGAGCAGAAAGTTAAATGGGCGATCCCAATAACACAATGACTGTAGTATTACGAATGATTTACGGCCCACAAATGACAGTAGACTATGTACAGTAATCTGATCCAAATCCTTCATGCAATACCAAGCCATAGGGTGTTATGCAGTATGGCCCGAACTTGGTGAAACTTGGAATCTCAGAAAGCTCCGGTGAAACACCCTTTTGTATGACTTATTAGCACGAAATTGTCGAATCCAGCCAGCAAAAACTACGTTACAGTCGAATCTCATTAATTCGAACACGGTTAATTCGAACTCACGCTGTGGTCCCGTCAAAGCTATGTGTATTCCAATGGGCGACAATGCCCTGTAATTCGAACGTGCAAGCACTTGCGACGGGTAATTCGAACATACCGCACTCCAAAAATGCTGTCAGCACCACGCCCAATCCCGCGGCGACACCTCAACACTGAGCGCGAATAAGGAAAAGAAGAAAAGGGAAACAAAAGGCTGCGGTGGAATGTTTGCTCTCTCTCAAATGCCTATCTGCAACGCGCCTGTGCCACGGTTCTCCATTTTCCGTTTCTGCCATGTAGAGACCCTTCTCCTTTCAACGCCTCGGGCGGAGAGAGAGAGAGAAAAAAAAAAGTTGTCGGGATGTGTTGGCTCGCTCTCTAATGGTGATTTGCGACGCGCCTGTACCACACTTTCTCCTTTTCCGTCCCTCCCACATAGAGACCCTTGTTTTTTGAATGCCATGTGCGAAGAAATGAAAAAAAAATGATAAAAAGAAGAAACCGCCGTAGAGTGTTGGTTCTCTCTCAAATGCTGATCTGCTTCTCTCCGTGTGGAAATGCTCCTCCTTTCGCGTCATGTGCTGGCCACGCCATGGCTGCTACGCAGAGGGAGGCTACCATTACGCAGGCGTTGTCATCTCGAGAAGTGTTGGCGCTGGACTTAGCCGCTCCAGAGAACCGCACACTACTTCTCTTGCAAGGTGAATGCTGAAGCCAAAGTTGAAATGCTTTGCAAACTGCATGCGAAATTGATTGAGTCACTGCAAGGCAAACGTGTGCAGATGCGCATCACCGATTATTTCAATTAATGACTGATGTCCTGTGATTCGTGAATAAATGTAAGTCTTCTGAATCTTCCCCCATCATGTGTTAGCTCAATGCACATGCGCCACTCATGAAGAGCCCTCCGTACATTTAGCTTTCAATAATTCGAACTTCTTTTAATTTGAACAAATTTTCGAGCCCCTTCGAGTGTCGAGATTCGACTGTATTAGTTACGATGAAACATGGCATCACATGAAGGATAGAAGATGTAGCTGGAGTGGCGTCCTCAGATCAGAGGCATCATCTTTGTGATTACGATGAGGGCAGAAGTGCACCCATGAAAGACAAGTGTCAAACATTTTTACTAACGAAATTTTTTAGGGGTACTATGAGCACTGTAAATATGCAGTTCCGAGTGTTCACTACCAGCATTAAATATTTTTTACTATAATTAGCACTTTGCTTATGGCAATGTACTTATAGGGAACATTACGGTTGGAAACCAGCCATTTGAATAACCTGGCGGCATTTGTAAATGCAAACAAAGTGACAAGGCAGGATATTAGCAACTCGACAGTGAAGGATCCCGAAAGCTCCTGGGCCATTTTTGCTCCTGCTTCAAACTGTTTTTCTGTGCATCGATTTTAATTAGAAGGGTTTTCAGGAATTGTACTCATGGATGGAACCATATATATCTTGCAAATGCACTACATACACACTAATTGGAACTAATTAAAGTGCTAACTAATTGGAAACAACAGCTATGTAATGATTATAGGTACAGTAGCAGGTCTTATATTCAAGCTCAAAGGCGACTACAAAAGTGTTTTAATTCAGTGGGGTTCGAATTAGCAGGAGGGAGGAAGAATGAATAGAGATCCTATCTCACTGCACAGGAAAACAAAAAAAGCCATCTCAGGGCTCATCACAAATTAGGCGCTGCTACGCATTTGTGCCAAGAAATTTTGTAAATTAATTTCATGGAGCTTTAACAGCAAATAAAAAAATCAATTGATCAGCTAGTGATAAGCCGAAAACGAGCACTCACATGCATTCATGTGAACAGTTGGGCCTGAAACACTTTTTCAAGTAACCTAGGAATGAATTTACTAAAAGAGCTTATTGCCTCACGAATTCAATTCTGAAAAAATTTCAAGAATCCATCCAGTACGAGCGGAGTTACAAAGATTTGTCGCACGCTTCAATCCCATTTTTTCTTCTCTCATCCCAATGAAAGCCCTGGAAGCTAAGCAGGCAGGGATGGCAGGGGCAAAGAAAATACGTCACGTGCAGCTAGTGACCTTGAGCATTTTTTCCTTTTTTCTTTGAATACGGGGCTTTTTCAGTGTGATCGCGCGCACACGTGTGGACAAGTCGCGGCGATCCCTCTAACGACAGAGCGCGCCCGGTTCAAATCAGCCAGCTGATGGCCTTCTACCCATGATTTTTGAGCGTCTTCCGTCATTTGTCGAGAGAAGAGAAAACAATTATTAGCTGACTGATAATTTATTGTGAACTCCAGGCCGCGTGCTGCTCTGTAATAATGGGCTCGCATGTTTTCGGGAGCCTCTACTAGTACCGATCGGCAGCATTTTCTGACCATGCTCAAGAAGTGTTGCAGGCCCCTTTTAATGTCTAAATATATGATGCTATTTATGCTTCAAAACATATTGACTTATGTGGCAGTAAATGCAATCAAAATGAAAAGCATCGAATTTCGTCTTGCTTGTGTTTCTTCTATCATGAGTCCATGAGCAATGTTTTCAGCTTGTTCCTATTGCAGAGCATCCCAATTCTCATGTGCTGAGAAATGTTGCTGTTTTGTTGTTTTAAATTTGGTTTGACTTGGTTTAGCAACACAATGTGAACACTCTAGACTGACTTCTGTGAAGATCAATGAAAACCAAGCACTCCCAGTTCGAATTAACCACTCTGGATACCGTTGCATTTGAATTATCGGGAGTTTTCCTCAATATACAAATACACAGGGCTGTGCCGGGACCAGGGCGTCAGTTTGAATTAACCAAGTTCAAATTATTAAGATCTTACTGTACGATGAAGGCTCTTCTGACCTTCTTTTGCTTGCTTTGTTCCACAGATAAAAAAAAAAGGATTCTTATCTGACAAGTTAGAGACGCCTTCCAAGTTTCAGGCATTTTATTCTGGTGGCATACAACGAAGCAGTTACCGTAATTACTCGAATCTAACGCGCACCTTTTTTCCAGTTAAGCGAGTTCATAAATCGCATGCGCGTTAGAATCGAGTACGAACAAAAAAATTACGGTCAATCTATTGCCATCGGCAAATCCAAAATGGCCGCCCCCTACGTGCGTCGGCATGGAGCGTCGGCCATTTCTGCCTATGTGTTTCCCATGTGCGGCACTTCGTACGTTAGCTGAGGAGTTTGTCATCTAGTAGTGCATTAGCATCGACGGCGTGGAAGGGCCGACTCCAAAAACTCGAGTGCACCACGATGCCGCTTTTAAAAGAAAAGTCATCGCGTGTGCAGAAACGGACGGAAATCGGGCCGCATCGCGGTCGTTCGGAGTTTCCGAAACATGCGTGCGGGACCGGCGGAAACAAAAGCAGAAGATTGTCGACAGCAAAGCTTCACGCAAAGGCTTCAGTGGACCACAGCAGGGTCGGTTTCCGCAAATTAAAGAGCTTCTCGGTGAGTATGTGCTTGAGCAGCGAGCGGCATAGCGGCCCGTGACGACAGAACTGCTCCAAGTGCGGGCTATGCAATTAGTCTTAGAAAAAGGTCTAATGTGGAGCCAGTTTAAAGCAAGCAGGTGCTGGATAACTAACTTTATGAAGAGGAAAGGCTTTTCCCTTCGAAGGGGAAATGCATATGCGAAAAGTTTTGCGGAGGAGTACGATGAAAAGCTTCACAGTTTTCAGAGGTTCGTCCTAAACTTGCGGCGCAACAACGGCTACCTCCTTGGGCAAATCGGGAATGCCGATCAGACGCCTCTTTACTTCGACATGCCTGGCACCACAATTGTCGAGAAGAAGGGGGCGAAGCAAGTTCGCGTGCTGACATCGGTCCACGGTAAAACTACAGTGACGGCAATGCTCTGTTACACGTCAGATGGGCACAAGCTTCGCCCGTACCTCATATTTAAATGGAAGACGCTCCTGAAAGGAGTCGTTTTTTCGAGTGGTGTGATTGTGCGGGCCAGCGAGAAAAATGGGTGCGCGTTGCAATCGATGTCTTACGTTTTTTTTTTTTTTTTTTTTCGCGGTGGAAATCGGGTGCACGTTACAATCGAGGGCGCGGTAGAATCGAGCAAATACGGTATGATCAATGAGCCCTTCAAAGCCCTCTGTGGCATAAAACTATGGTTATTACTGCTGACATGACCAGATTTTGCTGGTGGCCTGAATACCGATTTTGGGAATACGGAATGGCCTGTAGATACAAAAGCTTTTTTTAAAACTTTTTTTCTAGCCACACTTAAAGGGGTACTGACCCAAAATTTCGGGGCAGAGATAGCCTGCGGAGTCGATTCTCGTGAACATTCGTATATCATCTGCGAGATATCAACAGCGAAGATACCTTGAAAGGCATTTTAAATTAATTTTGAAGTTTGCGTGAGAGACCGAATCTATAGCGCTATAGACACCCTCGGAGGGGACCCCGACGGGACCCCCTACTTCCCTCACGTCACCACGCTGCGGTCAACAAAACAAGTTATGATGACATCATAGCTGCCATTTTTCTTTTGCCGCGTTAGTTCCTGAAGTCTATGTTTTTCAGTGGCTGGTTGCCAGTGCGTGGCTGTGGTGCACACTTAGAAAGTTTTGTGTTTGGCGACATTACTGCCCCGTTTCCTATTTGAAAGTAATCTTTGATGCAGACCGTGCGGAAGTGCGTCACAGTTCTGTGTGCTGACGTGGTCAAGAGCTGCACACGCTAGGTGGTGACAGTTGCACCCAGTTTTTGGAACTCTCTCAACCTGAAACTGATTGATAATGAGGGGCCTGTGATTAATCATCTGTCGCGTGCTGCAGCAGACGATGTGTCGTGTCATGACTAACAGGCCCCCAGCAAGGCATTGCAGCAGAAAAACGCAAGGCCAAAGTTTTTGTGTGAGTACCCCTTTAAGGTGAATTGAGGGCCTGCGTTTGGCACCACTGGTTGTGACAGCATTCTGAACTTGATGATTGCATCAACTCAAAATGTAAAAAAAAATATATAACAACAAATATCAGGGGTCGTTTAAGGGGCCCTTTTAAGAGAGTTTCTAGTGCCACCATGACATGCATAATCATTACATGCTGCTTTACAACAATGTATAATAAACATTTTTTTAAAGCCACATGTTGCGAAGCGGAGTGGCAGTGATAACAGTAGCGAGTAGAAATTTTCAATCTACCGCAGCAAAGCGTTGGTGGGAAATGCCAGGCTGTGTAAAAAATGTGCTGGGTGGAAGGCCGGGCTGCTTGTGAGCCCGAAATGAAAGAAAAAGAACTCTTCAACCAGGGCAACACCAGGTGTCAGTCTCTTCTCTGTCACAACAGTATCGGTGCCGAAACCAGCGAAAAGGCCGACACAAAACAATGTTGCTCCTGGAGCATTGCTTTATACAGTTAAACCTGGATATAACAAAATTGACAAAATCCGGGAAAAATATGTTATAAAGAGGATTTCGTTATATACAAGTTCAGTACGAGAATTAAAAAAATAAACACTAATTAAACAAAAGGGCAACTGAAGGCAGAGCTAAACTAAAACACTTATTAGATAGTAAAAATGCATTATTTTCTGGACACTCTCGGCGGGTTTTGCCGTCGATGTCATGTTCCATAACAAGTTCAAATTGAAAACATGCCCTCGCACATTGTAATGGGTAACCCTGGAAGATGCATGCTCGTGCCAAAATAGCAAAATCTGGGGCGAAATTACTAGACTGTCCATGGCGAAAACTCATATCTAGAATATCTCCCACTGTTACTTTGTTACACAGAGGTCGCAAATACATGTGCTTCTATGGAGTAACGGCAGAGAATAGAAAAACTTCTTTATATCGAGGAATTCGTTGTATAAAGGTTCGTTATAAACAGGTGTAACTGTAACTGCAGTTACTCAAGGGTACTTCTGCGACGGCACAGCCCCGCATGAAGTGATTTTCTTGAATTACGCGAGCAGAGCTAGCTCGCCTTTTCGGATGGCAGCCATTGTAATGCAGGGGTAGGCAATGGGCACAAAGAGCAGTGGAACTAATTGCAGTACCTAATTTAGTGCTCATTATTTGCTATAATAAATACTCTTACTGTATTATTCCAAGTGGCAGTGCTTAGAAAGAAAGCGAGACAGATGTTGCAACAAGAAGAAACTCGCCTGCCAGGAGGTTAGGCATGGTGTGCAGAGCAGATGCCCGCAGGGCTCAATGCGAATGTCCTTGTCATTCTCGGCACAGATCTTGCACAGCTGGAAGGTGGAGCCCATCTCACAGTAGAGCTCGTACTGTTCTTGCGTCACCTTGATGTGGTCTTCGGGTGTCGCCTGGACGGCCCAACTCAGGTCGGGATTGACATTGCGCCCGTCTGGGTAGAGGTAGCTGCACAGAACAGTCCATCCATGGGCCATCAGCATGCTGCTAAAGTGCAACTTAATTAAAGAGATGCTCAAGTGAAGCCATGAACTAGTTTATATTGATGAATTGAACTCGGAGAACTGTAAATTTCACTATCATAGGTCCATCAAGCAGGATAAAATAAAGGTCGAAGATTCATTTTAAACTTCCTGCTTGAGTCACCGCGTGCAAAGCCACAGATTTCAAAGTTTATTTTTTGTATTTTGGCAACATCAGCTCAAGAAAATTTCTTGATACTTGGCATATTAAGTCTATGGCTCCCTCAGAGGACAATGTACTTCGTTTGTACTGATTGGAAACAATGACCTAGTAGACGCCATCAGACTCTATGACGACAAAGGGTTTGATGTGAGAATTCCAATGTGGGGCCGCTACCCACCACTTCATTGTTGCCTATTTTTTCACTTACCAAGCATTTCTTCGTGGGAACCATGGTGGCTTCGTCATTGTGAGAGAGTAACCTATTTACTCACGTAAAGAACACACCTTTTTTTTTTGAAAAATCGGAGCAAAGTTGAGGGTGCATTTATCATGTGGGGCAAATATTATGAAAACTTTTTGGGATGAGCGAAAAATGCGGTAATGCTAAAAAAAAGTTAGGTCGTTTAACATTCCGCAGCATGACATATGCGTACCCTGTTTGGAATCAAGTTTCTTTGTTGAATGCCACTCATCTTCTGGATGCTGTCCCTGCGCCGCTCACCACTCCATAAAAGCGTTTTGTGGCGTTTTTTTTCTCCCAATCATTTAACAGCAACAGTAGTATTTGCTGTAATCTCAAGGGGCACCCAGAAGCGTGCGCTACGACGCTACAACACACTTTTTCAACTTTGTGGCAGCCTCACACGATGCCGCCGCATTCAACATTGCAGCAAGCTACCACCAAAGCATCAAAACAAACCGGCGATAACGATATTAACGACAAACTATGGCCGCCGTCTCGCTGTTCACATGAGAAGCTACAGTAGAAAAGGTAGCCTATATCTTGCGTTCCTTGAAGTACGTGAGAATAACAAGCATGAAGAGCAAATTGCAACTGAATCAAGAATCGAGGGTGCTACCATGTTGCGGAAATCGACAAGCAATATTTTCTGTTTTCCAGAAACCTGCAACACAATGACGACGAATAGCCCTTTGAGACAGCCATGGCGACAGCAAATCCTGTTGTCGTCGCTCGAAAATCACGTGCATGTAGTTGGGCCTCATTCATATTTGCAGGAAGGGACCGTCGGTTGGAGCGGGCAGTTTCGTGACCTTCACTCGCTGTGTGCTTGCCAGCTGTGATGTCTCTACATTCCCACCATTCGTGAAGCGCACTGTGGTGCACAGGTAATTAAAAAAGACAGGGGACATGCCGCACACAGATAAAAAGAAAAACAACACGGCACACAGCTGCGGGCGAAAGTGGGGAGGAGCGAGTGGAGGTGGGCTGAGGGGGATCGGCATAATAATAAATAACGGAAGGAATCCAACGGGCAAGGAGGCACCATGTGTCGGTTAACGGGACTGCAGCGAACAAATGTAGGGCATGCGATTATCACGCAGGAGAAAAAAAAATCAGAAATCTGACTACTGGTGTTGAGGGTGAGTTAAATATTAGAGTGCATGAATTCATAAAGTGAGTAAATATGTTAATTTACTAATAATCAAAAAAATTTCTTTTCTTTTCACTGTCCCTTTAAGAGTTAGCCTCAGCACTCCCAACTTAAATGTGTGTCAAGTTGAAACACATACATGCTCTCACTAGAGCACAGCTGAATTAATTCAAACTACCCACACTAACTACACCTGAAACACAGTAAAAGGGGCCGAATTCCTATGCATCATTTATTACAGTAAAACCTCTTTGTTTCGAACTCAATTATTTCAAAATCCCACTTAATTCAGGATATTTCGACGGTCCCGTATTCCGAAACTTAAGTCTGAGCGGATAATTTAGAGCGGAGGTCAGAACCAGTCCGGTTAACTCGAAAATTTTGGTGCCATGCACGTGCCAGTTTCCCATCCCAATTTCGCCGAAAATCCACAGAAACGGCGACCCTTAAGAGCCACAAGGCAATGCAGTGTAGTGATACTAATAATCGGCAGCTAAGTCAATCTAGCCTTGCTACTTCCAGCGCAAAAAAAAAAAAAAAAGAGAAAGAAAGCTGGTCTCGTGGTCAATTAAATTGTGTGCCTGCAGAAAACACAATATGCTTCACTGCAACACATTGATGACGTGCGGGCAGCACATTGCATGTCTCGCAACATTGGCGCGGCATGATTTGTCCATTCTTTCTGTGATTGTAAAGAAATTAATAAAAAATAGTTTGGAATAATTGGTGATGTATGCGAACCTCCGATTTCCAGTTGCTCCGGCAATTTGCGCACTTGCTCTGCTGCAGAGTTCTTGCCTGCAACGCCTGCTTCGAAAACCAAGTTCGAAAGCTTCAATGATCACGTTTTCCAGCCAAAATACATTGCCTATTTCGTCACACTGGCCATTATTGACTTCTTTATGTTATCAGAAAGAATGGGCAAATGGTCGAATGATGACATGCTGATGGAGCGAAATGCTGGCGACATGCTGCTGGCATTTCTCTACCATGTTGCAGTGAGGATGGTTTGTTTTCCACAAGCACACATTTCAATTGATCAGAACAGCGTCTTCTTTTTTTCTTTCGGTGCCAGCCGCGAGGCCCGCCGTTCTCCCATCCTTGGGACAAAATTCAAACCAGGTATTGCTGGAAAATATAACACTTGGAACCGCAAACAGGCCTGCAGAGCAAACAACCAGCCCCGATTACTTAGAATAATTCCAAGCTCCTTGAATCCAACTTTTTGTACATTCTGTTAATTCAAAAACCAACTTAATTTGAAGATTTTTCATGGCCCCAGTGAGTTCGAATTAAGGAGGTTTTACTGTACACTTTAAGACACGTCAACATGGCATTGCTCTGACCCCCATAATCCCTCTCATGGTGCTTTCTGATTGAGTGGGTGTTGAGAGTAAGGAAAACATTGTATTCTGCCTTGAACCCATAAAAGCATCCATTAGACTAAAGGGCACATCAGAACTATGCCAATGCACACAAACCAATAACTACATCCTTCGTCAGTAAAAAAACATCAGTCCACTGGCTTTCAGTAAAATATATTTATGGCGTGTTAGCATTTTTTCTTATTCTTTTCTAGTTATTTATTGAATAGCTATTCGATTCCGACGAAACGCTCAAGGTTTAATTGGTGGAAGTTAACTGTATTATGCCATGTTAACATATATGCTACTGCACAGCTTTTTTGACCATGACGTATGAACTTTTACCTTAATTATTAAAATCTGAAATGGAGGCGGCTGTGCAACACGGGGAAGTCACAGTATAGTATCACCAATGTACATGCTGAAAGCAATTTACTAGGCACTGTGGGTTCAAGCTCAGTGGTGAAATGACTGCATAAATGTTATGCGCAAAAATAAAAGCATCACACAGCCCAAAGCTGTTGATGAAAATTACTCACAATCCTTCCCGATAGCCGTCGAGAAGTGCTTGGCACAAAGATTTGTTTTGTGGAATGGTCTGCAAGATGTTTCCCTCGGCTGTGACGTAGCCAATGGCCCACTGGCCCAGCCTCGTACAGCTTAGCCGGAATACGTAGCTGTGTACACATAGGTAAAAGTTGCACATCAGCCATTTGCCACTCGGAGCGAAACAACAAAACCAACAACAAAACCAGCAGGTATAACAGAGACGAGAATAAACAGTAATTTTAAAGACCAACAGCAACTAAATTTAACTTCGACAAAATCTGCTCAGAATGCATAGCATGTATTGGGTAAGCAATAGTAATCATAGCAAAAAATATTGAATTTGCATACTTTATTGATAACTGGTCGTCTAATTGTCAGCTAGCAGATGACACAAGTCTTAGCAGTGTGCCCAGGCAAATCGAGCACAAACGGAAATGACACCAAACGCAGCTCACCACCGCTCGTGAGCAAAACTCCCTGCAGCTGCATCCCTTCTTTTTCTGCCTGACGACCCTCTACACGTGGCTCATTCAGAAAGGTTGAATATTTCGTAGGGCAAAATACGGGTTCGTGGGCGGCCAGAACACGTATGTTACGGACGGGCCAGCTTTCACACTTTTTTTACAAACGTATAGCCCCAATATCACACCGAGGGTTATCACAGTGAGGCGAAAAGATTTGGAGCTACATCGAAGAGCATGAAACTTTATGCGGAGCATTTCAAAGATAAGGGCTTTTAAGTATGAACAGTGTTTCTTCGTTCAAATACTGTTGGGAATGAAAAGAATGTCGGATCCCGACAGTGCCTTCAATATTCAGCTGCTGCAAACACAACAGCGGGAAGCCCCAACCAGCGCTTGAAGAAGTGCTGGCGTCGAGAGGTACTCGTATTAAAATGCTATAGTATGACATAAAATGCTCGCATTAGCGTGTTTTGCACGCTACAGTATAGCGCAACTCTATCAGAAAAACATTTAGCATAGCCTAAAGCGCGAGACAGACGTGCGATTTTCTCTGCGATTCGGCGTGCGGTGCGACGATGCGACTGCCGGAGTGGTGACGTTTCGTGACGTATCTCCGCGTCGCACCGCCGCATAGCCGGTGCGGCGTGCATCAAACCGGCCAGATATTTTTGTCACAGCGTCGCACCACCACATAACAGCAGCCAATCACAGTGCGAGCATACGAGTGGCGTCAAGATGCTAGTGGCGCCATCTCCCTGTCGCCGCTCCCATCACCCATGGTCCAAGGCTCCAGGCGAGTCAATGGAGCGGTGCGAGCGTGGATGTTATGACATCGCCGACTGCGGCAGCATGACAACGAGTACATTTCCCTGGTGACGTGATATTACTCCGGATTGAATAAAGTGATGCTTGAAGTGTGCCTTTTCTGCAAGATAACGCCCGTTTTGAAACCGCTAGCGAGATCGGGGATCGTGAGCAGCGATGCAAGGTCATTTCGCAGGTAAACAAAGCTACCGGCGTCTCTACGCTGCTCGCTTCTCTTCCACCTTTGCTATCGATGGCATCGATAAAGTAATAATGTATGCTAACGCATTACATACGAGTGCAATGCTTGATAGTGTTGTCAAAAACAAGCGCTCGATGACGAGCTCGCGTGTGGACGGCGTAGGCGACGGCCGGCGCCCGCGATGCTAGGCCTACCTGTCGGAGTCGTGAATAATCAGCTTTCGCCGTGGTTACGACGTGCTTGTCGCTCACGAATGCGATTTATTAATTTTTTTTTGTGGAACGACGCGTGGCTGTGTAATGTTGTTTGTTTTGAGCCTTATTACGAGGATATCAAGTTGTTCGACCCTGCATGCCGAGGCTCCGCAGGGGGGTGGAGCCTGCCGCTGAGAGCTTCTTCGCCCCCGTGTGTCCCAAAGCGTCGCATGCGGCACGCCGCACCATGCGACGCCGCACGCCTCATTGCACGGAAAATCGCACGTCTGTCTCGCGCTTAAAGCTGGTAAAAACGATGGGCCGCTAAGTGCCCGACTAGCTGCATCATATATGCACGAGAATGAAAGCTCCCAAAGCTGATTGGCTCACTTTTAGTTCTGGGTAGTCCCAGCAGCAAAGTTCAACAGAAATACAGTTGCGCTCAGTTCAAAAGAATTGAAGCATGTAAGCATACTTTAGGGAGAAAAATTATGTTCTGTTACGTTTAATCTAAATGAAATATCATAGTTGAAATTAAGAAGAAGAAATGTACATGGGCTGGGCATTTAGCACGTCAGCAGGATAAACGCTGGTCGTTAAGGGTAACTGACTAGATTCCCAGAGAAGGGAAACGCACGAAGAAGAGACAGAAAGTTAGGTGGGCCGGTGAGATGAGATGAGTTCACAGGTATAACATGGCAGCAGAAAGCACAAAACCGGGTTGATTGGTGGATCATGGGAGAGGCCTTTGCCCTGCAGTGGGTGTGGTCAGGCTGATGATGATGGTGATGTCTAATCTAAAACTTTCTATTGGTATGTGGGGTTTAACATCCCAAAGCCACCACATGATAATGAAAGACGCTGTAGCAGAGAGCTCCGGAAATTTCGACCACCTGGGCTTCTTTAACATGCACCAAAATCTGAGCCCACAGGCCTACAGCATTTTCACCTCCATCGAAAATGGTGCCGCCGCAGCCAGGATTCGATCCCACAACCTGGGTTAATCTAAAAGTTTTATGTGCAGTCAGAATAGTGTTCCCAAAAATGCAGGGATGCTTTCAGTAGACAAAGAAGCGTGCCAAACCGTGCATCAATATCAAAAACAATGCTGTCTTATTGCCCATATCAACGAAACAAGAATATGCGATGCTTGATCTAGCAACATCATTTATTATGAACCAGCGAGTTCTCCAAGGCAGTTGGACGAAACGACACGAGTGAAACGGGCAGCCAATGCTTGTAGAAATGGTTTATGGGTCTGTTTATGGGTTTATGGGCCTGTATTCGTGTTTCTTTCACGGTAGACTTCGACAGAGTTTGTTCCTCTGTTACCACCTAAAAATGAAACTTTGGGGTACAGCCATAATGAGAATACTTTGAAGCACAGAGCAGATGATTCGCCTGCATCGGCTTGTCTGCCGGGCTGCGCTCTACATTACTTGCGGTCAGTTGTAACAGCATAGTTTTTTTAGTTTCGATATAAAAAAATTTGCACTGTTGGCGAGTTTTTTATTTTTCCTTAAATAAACACTTACATTTCGAAGGTGAAGTTCGGCAGGTATCATTATCTCGAGCTAGACTGCCCAACAATCGGCGCTTTGAGGTATGCAAAATTTCATTGCTGTTGGCCTTCAAAGGAGCCTTGCAACACTTTTACAAGAACTGTACACTCATTAAACGAAACCTGAAGGGGCCAAAAAAATGTGTTGCTTTTAGCAAGAGAGTCCTTTATTGAGAAATGAACAGAAGTGCAGCATTCAAGTACGAAACCAACCTTACTATAGGCAGTTGTTCAATTGAAGGAGCAATTCCCTTTAACAAATTCCTCTTACTCAGTCTAGTGTGATCATTTCATGGCTTCATTCAAGGGGCTTACTGCCTCACGAATCAACTGCCACAAAGATATTTAGAATCTGTCAAGCACAAGCAGAGTTACAGTGATTAGTCGCAAGCTTTATGCGCTTTCTCTCTCCTTTCGTACCAGTGAGCGTGCTGAAAGCTACGCAGGAGGCAATGACAAGGAGGCAAGTTTATTGGTCAGCACGCATCATCATACCGAGCATTCCCTCCCACCTCCTTTTTTGCCTCCCTTAAACCGCATAGCTTCCTATCAATACAATCGCTAGCAAACATGCAGGCAGGTTACAGCATCTTGCCGTGGCAGTGGTAACTATTACGCAACTCCAGGTGCTCCGATCAGCTAATGGCCAGGGACTTTGGGTTTATGGTGCAGTCATTTGGGTTTACCGCACCGCTTGAAGGTAGTAAAACAAGCAATTTTTAGCTGACATTGAGAATCGATAATAAATTTCAGGCTGTGCTATAATGCTTAGCTCACATGTTTTCAAAAACCTCAACTGTCAATTGGTTACATTTTGTGACTATTTTAAAGAAAGGTTACAGGGCCCCCTTTAATATAACGTTATATAATTCCTCCAGTGGCACATTAATGGCATAAAAAGAAGCTTTGGTTACTTAATTATCAAGAAGATAAAAGCAGAATAAAAGTGCAATGCCAGGTGCTACCCTGACACTGCATGAGCTCATTAACAAAAGAAATGCGTAGCTTCTGAGTTCAAATTTTGCAAGCTAGTACACAGTTTCAGATCAGTCATTTTCATAAAAGTGATGCATTAACCTGTCCATGTGACGAATTAACATGCCCATGCCATTTTAATAGGTCATGCAAAAAACACGCAATGACCAACTATGGCATAGATGTGCAGCAGCTATAGCAGCAAGATGTGCCGACATTTGAACTTGTGCAATGCATGACAGTGATGGTCCTCAAGCGGATTTGTTATCCCATATTGTTAAATCATTTGTTCTTGAACTGAATGCAAACATTGAAAGTCTGACAGTACAGTTGATAGATGGTCACTACTTTTTGCATTCACGAATTATAAAAAAAATAGGTTGTGAAAGCACAAATTCAATTAAATGTCATAATATAATAATAGTGACAATTACAGCCAGAGAGCTCAGTCATTTCTCTGACACGTGATGGCAACAGCTCACCTTCCTGGCTTGTTAATGTATTTGCACAGACGTGCCTTGACCTCATCATACGTAAGGAAGGCAACATAGCCAGGGTGGGTAACTGCCAGGATTTGCCAATTTCTAAGAAGTGTTGACCAGGGCTGAAATAACCTGAAAAGAAGAGATGCATGTGCTTGAAACAATTCAGTACAAACATTGTAAAAAAAATAAAAGAACACTTCCTCATCCCCAGTACTATAATACGAGGATAAAGTATTCAGATGCAATGCATACAGCCGGCATTGTATGTATCACAGTTAAGTTAAATTACATTTGCTGGTTTACCAGAAAAGTTTAATAAGTAGAAGCCCTTATATACAAAAGTAATTTTATTAACAAAAACATCAATGTTAACAGCTGCACTGTCAACCACCAAAATATTAATGTTCAGGGGCTCTTGAGCCAAAACTACAACATGATTACGAGATACACCATGTTGGAGGACTCCCAATAGATTTAAACAACATAGGCTTGTTTAATTCTTACTGAAACCTAAGCAGCAGGTTATTTCACGCTAGAAAATTTTGTGTCAGTAACCCTTTAAAGGGGCCCTGCAATACAATTTGAGCATGTCTTTTTCATCGGTTCTTCTGGTGCCGTGGAAAGCGCCGATATCGCTGTGCAAATGGCAATGCTGAAATCGACGGTTATAATTTTAATTCACGAGACAAACTAATTTTAGACTACAATGACACACATCGGCCATTTTTACTATGGCAAGTGATGTCGTGTCATGTGACGTGACGACAAAGATTGTTCGCTTTTGATTGGCTTGACGCAACAAATAGCGTGCAATATTTATGTGGTGGCAGCTAGGCCATACGTGTGAATGCTAAAAATAGCAAAAACCCTTTTTACACTTTCTCAGAGAGAAATCGTTCGTGTTTCTTAATTATGTATTTTCAGAGCAGTGAACACAATACTTAGCCTGCGAATGAGGCTATGGTACGCCAGCAACTAAAGGTGGAAATGCATGCCCCATTTTTAGCGAGCCAAAAAATGCGACAGGCAGTGGGCGCCGGCATTGTCGTAGAACGCATCTTGCAAGCAAGCCGAGAAGTTACCCTGCACTAAGTGTATGTGTGTATCTATCCTACACCGTGTGACCGTGGGAGCGTCTGCTACCTGACGCACACGGTTCGTAGTAACCATGTTAGCGATGCCGTCAAAAAGAGCGGTATTGTGTGAAGGCCACCATGAGGTGAAATTTCCGGTATGTCTTTACGAGAAGCGTGCTGTGATTGGAAGTGGTCTGTGACGTCAACAAGCGAGTGAAATGCGAAAGAGAACGTTTCTCGCTGTCGTCTGCTCGAGTTTTGAACTTTGAGGACTCATAGCTTGACTTTCCATGCACCAATTTTCGTAATTCTTGTTGCATTCGTCTCGATATTCATCGCTACACGCATTCCGGTGCTAAATAAGGCTGTTCGAAGAGTGTCGCGGAGCCTTTTTAAGCAATATTATATAGAATCATAAATTCAACATTATGTCCACAAGGAAGCTGTCTCGACAGGGAGTACAAAATCCAATTAAGCAATACTCTTTCTCTGTCAACCACAAATGCCTGCCTAAAAAGAAAAAAGACATTTCTCCACACAACGTGTTTGGTTGGAGTTTTGCTGAGACGCTGCGCTATCATTAGACGACATCCTGCTTCAACGAACGCCCACTTCCTTGTGCACTTCCTGCGATCTGTATGTGCACAACTCCGTCTTTTGAAGTGGTTAAGAGCGGAGTTCCTTAATGTCACTATATCACTCACATATTTTCTTTCCAACTTGAGTTTTCAGCCAAATCTGTAGAAAATTGCTCAAAATTTTCTGCAGACCAATACGTCTATGTTTCATTAACAAATACGACTAATTGAGCACGAAAGCATTCATAGATATCTAATCTTGTTATAACAATGAAGCAAGTGTAGATTTAGAAGTGAGTTACTTGCTGTTGAACCAGTGTGGTGACCACGAAGATTATGTCTACAAGAAAAGCCACCACTGACAAGCGCACCACTGTACTCTCCGATTTGTTTGTTCTTAAAAATAAGCTTACAACCACAGATATTAGACAATAAATAAAAAATGGGCGTAGCAATGTTTCATTGTAAAACTGTAGAGCTAACAATACCAGTAGCAAAAACAAAAGTATTACTTCATTACCATCATCATTGGTTTCTGTATTTCGTTGTTGGTGTGTTTTCGCCAAGCCTCACAATGCTGCAGTGGCAACACCAACAAAGCGCTTCAAGACCCTTACAACGCGACGTAAAAGAAAACGACAGCGACAACTGTTAGATGCTGTCAACCCAGGCAGAAAAGCTTTCCGTGCACGGGAGGATGTGGCTTTGAGTCCAGTGAAATAAAACGGAGAGGCGAGCGAGTCGGTACTGATCCATAACAACATAAATGTAGCGCGAAAAAACACGAACAAGAAAGGGTACACCGTGTTGTCAGTGTTTTCTCGCGCTACATTTACGTTGTTATGGCCCAGTGAAATAAGCATCGGTTTTCTGTACCTTGAGACAGCATTATTTACAAGTTTTATAATAATAATTATAGATATTCGTTGCAGTGCACGACCGCATTTTTCAATGAATGTAGCAGACATGTCGTATTTCATCCTGTTGACAGAGTTAAAAACAGATGAGTCTAATATAGATGAGTCTAATATAGATGTGTCTAACATATATAATTTTTTCCTGTGAAATCCACAGAAAGTAGGGCGTGGATTTTATATAAAGGTAGGCCTTGTACACAAAAAATTCATTGTTTACTATTCATAAGGTCTGTTACGTTAACTCATAAAAAAAAAATAAGAGCACTCAAAACTAAGATGAGTCAATGCAATGACTGTGTGAAGGGCAAAGTAGGACACCTACTAAAACTAGTCTTAAAAGACACAAATACAACAAAAGTGTTTGAAAAGAAAGCAACTTAAGCTTGAGAAGCAACAAAGGGTTGTAGTAGGTGATTATACAAAACTTCCAAATAACAACGATTATACTATTCAGTTCCTTCTTCAAATAACATATTCAACATTTTCAAATCAAGACACACAGTCAAACCTCAGCTAAATCGAGTGAGCGTGAATAAAGAAGAAAAGTTTTGCCCTTTTGTCAGTGCTAACAAACATATATGCTTGCAAGATATAGCATGCAACACGTATTTTCATGGTGCAAGTAACAACATAAAAGCGTCATAATGGCACTGTAATCGTATGCTCCAGCTTTGATAATCCAAGATTACTTAAGCAGTTTAACAGCATTATAAAATTATAGCCTTATCAAAAAAAAAAAAAAAAGGCTGACACGACCACACGTTAGCGTCACAATGCCATGTTTGATGGGAGCTCACCAAAGCACGGGCTATCACAACAGATTTGAACTAAAATGCAAACAAACATACGAGTGAGTTATACCAAGCTGATAGCCAAGAAGGGAAAATTTTCTGACAAAGAAATTAATGCGAAGTTGTGCACAATACCGACATCAGCAAAGAGAATGTTCAAGAACATTTGATGACATTACTAGCTTCAAAACTCTCGAGCAGAGATGTATTCTAACTTATCTTTTAACTCTTTTTAGACTGTGTAACTTGATCACTTTGTACTAGTTTTGTTGCCATTTGCAAAGCCCTAAGAAACTTTTTCTCACTGTCAAATACATCTGCAGGGTTTCATTAAAAAAAAAAAAAGAGCGCATAGTACTCACCTTGTGAACACATCAAACTCGAAATTTGAAATATAGTCATTGCAGGTAAGGTCAATGGTGGACTTGAGGGCCATTGCTTCAAGCCCTGAACTGATGGGATGGACGTCGTGAAGCGTTTGTCGAAAAACCCGCCACGCTACGACAGTCCTGCAGAGCATCAACCGAGAACAGACCGTTACTAGTTTCATGGGCATACACACACCCTTATGTACACATGCAGAGGAAATTTCACAAGACATGTATTCCATGGCAAATGTGAAATTATTTTTGGTCAGTGCACAATGCTTTTCATTTAATAACTGTGTGCATCACAAGAACTGCTACAGGCTGAAACTTTTCAATAAGGGCTATGTTTCAGATTAACAGAGATACCATTTTTTTTCTGCACAACTTATCTTCTATACACTTTGGTTGCTGGGTGTTATACTAACAGTAATGACTGTACATGACTGAAGAGCGGCCTGCTCTTAGAGTAACACTGAACTTGTAAAACAAGTCTGCTAGCCAAAAGACCAGCACTAAAAAGAAAAGAGGTGCTTTCTGTGTCTTCAGCAGCAAGTGCACAAATAAATATGTCAGTGAAGACAGCCAAAATATTAAAAAAAAAACTATTGTTGGGAATCAGACAAATGAATGGGCAAGCCGATACAAAACTATAAAAGAACTATGCGACATAGAAATCAGCCAACGCTAAAAATGGGATCAGAAGGAGGGCATGTTTGTCCATCAGTAATAGTCCAACAGCCAGTGGTGTCATAAACAGAAACACAAGAGATGAAAGAGAAACAAGGCAAACTCAGTTACAGGGAAAGGAAACCTCATTGTTTCCCAACTCGCAAGGCATCACGAGCAAACAAACTGGAGGAAGGATGTGATGTCATACGCTGCACCCCTCCTTCATCTCCAGAGCCAAGAGTGCAGATGAGGGGGTGTGTCAAATATAGAAACCTAGGTCACAGCCTCAGCTGTCAGCCAAGGGTCTTTCCCCTGCCTTCTTGCCTGCCACTACCCACCCATCGTGCACACTGCCAAACTTTTTCATTCACGTAGCAGCCCCAGTAGCTTTCCCACGCTGGCCCGCCGCCAGACAACTCACTCTTCGGCACTGACTCAGGTGCACGTACATCGTGCATGCCCTATGCTTTTCCTTCCCACCTCACTCAGCCACAGCTGAGAGCCGAAACTGGCACATAAGTGGGTGTGCGAACCCACTCACATCAGGACTGTCAATGGCGACCGAGAAGAGGGCAAAAGAATTTGATCTTTGACGCACCCAACTCGCATCTGACATGAGACAAAAATGCCTTGTCAGTGCAGGTGATGTGGAATGCCTCACAGTGGTAATGAAGAGGCAGACACACTTTCATTTTAAAATTTTTTTAAATACTTTGACGCTCAAACATTAGCTTAGAAATTCTGAACCTAAAGGACAATGATAATGGCTGTGTTCAGATAAGAACGTTGGTGCATGTCCACCGACCTCCTTTAATTTCGCCATAAAAAAAAAAAAAACAAATTTTGTTTTCCGAGCTTCCAAAACCACAAAACCACTTCTGGCTTTGCAACAAAAAAATTACCTTAAAAAAAATTCAGAAGTGTCCACTGAGATGCAACCGCTTCTTTCGAATTTAATTGGATTTTCCTGAGATCCCGCAAAAAAACTGTTGTAGCTGTAGGTCTGAAAATTTTAGGCTACATACTAAGAATACGTTTCTTTGATAAACTGTAATTCCTTAAGATGTTTTGGTGCTGCTCTTTCAAAAAAAAAAAAAAAAAACACGAAATCGGAATACAGTTTAATATTGCTCATTTTTTTCCTCTGCGCATATAAATGTGACCCAAAATTTCGAGACCGTCGCTATATGTTAAGTTAACAAATTTGCAGGACCTTATTGCTGAGAGTGACAACAAACATTAAGCCAAAACCTTAAACTGAGGACATGTCTCCGAAAAAGCAATAATTTGAAGACCATTTAAAAAAAAAGCCGACTGTAAAAGAAGAAGAGCGGTTGTGCCCTAGTCCATATCGATGTTGTAGGCCCGTGTGCTCAGATTTGGGCGCACGTTAAAGAACCACAGGTGGTCGAAATTTCCGAAGCCCTCCACTACGACGTCTCTCATGATCATATGGTGCTTTTGGGACGTTAAAGCCCACATATCAATCATGTCCATATCCATGCCAATAAGGCATTGTGGTTTAACATGAAGTTTCCTAACTTGCTTACAGACCATTCAAAACCGTTGCTAAAGGGTACACAACAAAGCATGTTTTGTCCAGGCAGCCAGAACATAAGGGAAAAAGGAAAGCTTCCACAGAGGCAGTACACAGGACATGAGCCCTGCCAGTGTCTACATGCAAGTGATGAAAGTAAATACATTTTTACGTGTCACTGCTCTGAAAATCGTTGTTGTGTGATACCTGATAAACTACAACAGCCAAGTGGCATGTTGTCGTTCAATGCACAACAGGTATCTCTGGGTAACGAGTGTATAAAGAACATAAGAAATCCAGTGGCTGTACACTAAAGAACATCATACCAATATAAGAGTTGCTATTCCAAGAGACAATGGGTGAGTTCATTTCAGGGTATTTGCTGATTGGCTGTATTGGATCTTTTAAACACAAAAAATGAACTGCGACAAAGTTTCCAAACAGTGACCACGAGAACTTTCAGGTGGCAAATCAATATTAAGAACTAAAGAAAGTACAAAGAAAAGTGGAATATCATTGAGGTGTCAGGTTGCTCATTGTGTTCCTAGCAGACGGTTCTCTGAGAATTCTGTACAGAATGTTAACAGTGTGACACTGTTATACAAGCAGGGTAGAAATTAGCCCGTTGCACCAGCATATCTACGAACACGACCAAGATCAAACCTGGCAAAAACAAGAACACTTTTGCTATAGAAAATCAACGTCAAAGGGTATAAGATACTAACTCTGTCACACAGTCTGATTGTTTGTCTGGTTGATGGTTTGGGGTCATGTCAAAGGAACACTAGAGGCAAATAATAAGTCGACTTGGATTATTGACATGTCATTCCAGAAACCTTATAGTGCTTATTTTCGTGCTAAGAAAACGGCTAGTTTGAAAGACATGCCAGTTTAGTGGTCTGAGTACCGTTATAGCAACGTGAGCCACCCGACTCCAAGAACAACCTCCTGACATAGCCCATGCCCGCCCTTCACATGCTTTTCTACCCGACAGTCAGTGCTGTGGCACAACGAAGCAAGGGACTTTGGCGAAGTGCAGCCCACAAAAAATTAAAGAAGGGTATTATCAAAAAGTTCTCTTGAGCAGGCATCATAACTGAAATGCACTAGTTTCATCCAATACCATCTTGTAATGCACAAGACCGTTCCTTTCTGCCATGGGTAGTTTGAGCACCCATCATTAGACGTACCGAGACTCTACTACATTATCGTGCTTGCATTCCAGAATATTTCACTGGTGGTGAAGGCCATGCCCTACTTTTACATTTATTTCTCTGTTCCGAAAACACTGTTGCATGTAATACTGCTATATTACAGCATCTTCAAGCATTGAATCTTTACTTTGACACATGTTTTTATTTGCCTTTAGTGTCTCTTTGTGTGCAATATATGGTGACATGAGTGCTCCTCGCGCGATTCGAAACATTGACATGATAATCGGAGCCCAATTTTCTTTCCTTCTTTGATCTCCCATTTTAGATGTTATACATACCATACAAGGTTCACTATTGTCTTCAGATGAGATAAGCAGTCATATTTGCTTTAAAATTGGGGGGGTCTGTCATGTATAACACGCACGCTAGGTAAAAGTGTTGGTGACCAGAGCCCTTACCATCGAGGTAGTTTGTTTAGTAATGATCTCAGGTGACACCGGCAAAAACATGTCTGTGCGATCCGTACAAACGCCCATGCTCTCTTATTGCCCCTTGAAAATCGTGCACTGAAAATGCAAGTATGATTATTCTTGTCTAGTTTAGTTTTTTTTATAGTTATTGTAGTATATAAACACAGCTAGAAAAGTTTCTAAAAATAATTTGTAGCTTGTAGAGGCAAAATAGCGTAAAAGAACGAAAACTAACGAGCGGGAGTGACATAAGTGCTCACGTTGTATCCACTCTTTCTTAGTCCTAGTCGTTTTGCCCTGTTTTGCCTCTACCAGCTATGAATCATCAACAACTTGCCTAGTTTTCAATCCTACTCAGTTAGAAATGACCACTCAGGTACTGTGCGCACGATTTCGCCTTCCAAAACGGCACATTAAAAGAAGCAGCACTCATAGAAACCATAGGATTTGCGTGACATATTTTGAGATGCTTCTGGTTCAAATATTCCAGCGAATTTAAATACGTAATGTGTTTTCAAGAAACAACTTATCAGTCCGAGTGTTTTCTCTTAGTGCTGTCACGTCATTGCGTAAGAGATTTTACTTCTGCGATTCTCTCTTTATTTTCTTTGTCAGGCATATCTTCAAAGTGACTTAATGGGTGTTTTTTCAAGCAGGCTGAACATGAGTAAGTTCCTGCATGGAGTTTACAATCTGAAAACTGCACAAAACTGATGAAAAGATTGAAAATATTAGGGCCGCAGCGTGCTTCATTGATTACGAAATGCAAGAAATGTGGTGAAACGAAGTTTTTGGTGGACAATATTGGTCATGTGTGCGTAAGATTTAACCATAAATGCACAAATTATTTGTACTCAGGCACGTGTAGATATGTAGAGAGTCGATCTTATTATATGCTAGAGCAGACCATTAATTACTGGCATGACACAAATGTCGCAGTATGATAAACACCCCACGTCTCTCATAATCATATGGTAGTTTTGGGATGTTAAACCCCACATATCATCATTATAAACACCCCATTCAATTTGCACAAATAAAACTGTGATAAGTGAAACTCTTTAAAGCCTCTAAAGTAACATTACCGGCGTTCAAAAATTCACTGTTGTAACATTCGTTTATTTTTTACAAACTCTATGCCACATACGTTAATGTGAATTATATTTCTTTTGTTGTTTTGTGTATACTATCTTGCTAGATCATTTCGACTGTTCCATTTTGTTTACGGCGTATTTATATGCTTTAGTGTATTAGCAGAATTTTACATTGTCATACTACCTCAAGTGTTGTAATGCTCACCATTTGATGATGTAAAAAAAACCAATGCAAAAGAGGACAATTACAATTACTTCTAAATGCCAATTTAAGACACTCGTGTTCTCACTTAATACCTTAGTCCTGTATGTTGGTTTCATTTGGTTGTGCCTAACAAAGAAACGAGACCCTCAAACTATTTGTTCATACTATTGACACAGCGTGACTGACACCGTCAGAGGCAACCTCTGCATTCCATAATGTGTATGCTGGCAGGAGCAGCGTGTGCAGCCATATTTGGTGACCCACTGAGCTGCAGTAGCAAACAATTAGACCTTCCCAAACAATCCGAAGATTTGTAGTTCGCCTACCTTAAGTAGATGGCCACCGTACAAACCTACTTTTTAATTCACTAAGCAATTAAATAGCTAATTTGAGCGTGTGTGTGTCTGCATACACGAGGTCCTCAATATCACTACTGTCACTACCCACATATGGGACCCGCGTTTCTGGCGTATTGAGAACGCTGAATGCATCAAAACAGTATTTAACGGCCTTAACTAGCAAATTAGGTACGCTAAAAGCCTGAAAGCAAATATAACTCGCACGCAGCTGGTAGAGAAGCTACTCAGTACATATTCTAAACCAATGTAAAACTGCTGGTTGAATGCAATTAAAACTGAATTTAAACACGGCGTTTACCACTGTTTTAACAAACATTCATGCGAATGTGTCGTAAGTTCGCACATTTTGGTCACAGGCGCTCCCGTCTATGTCTTATGTCAACACGCTGACAAATCCGATCAAACGCGATCGAGCGTTTCACACTTGAAGAAATAGGAACTAATAATGATAAAGAAGAGACGACATAGGCGGAGGAGAATTCGTTGCGCTTGGAGGATCCCTCGAAGCTACTGGGCTCAATGGAGCGATCGCTTCCGCTTGACGCTGGGGAGGAGGACCCAATCAGCGGATTAAACCGCGTGGACGGCAGTGGCCCGGCGTCGCGAAACCAACAAAAAGCGCGTCCGTTTCCGCGGCGGGTGTTATTTGACAGACATCACCGTGGAAACGAGAGACGTTTCCCACGCCTAGCTTCTCACAGAGACGGCATGCAAACGCACAGGTCGATCGCGAGCCGATGGACGGAACGGGTGGGTGGTGTTGCGGGAAAAAACAGCACGGCCGCAGATACATGCACGCAGACCACCACTTACCGGTCCCCGAACGCGTTTTTCCAGAACTCGGACGCGTCACTTTTGGTTATCCGAAAAGTGTCGCCACAAAAGACGCCGTTTGGGTAAATGGCCTTCAGTTCGGACAGCATGTGGCTAAACACTAGGCTCAGTTTGGTGAGGTTCCTCCGAAAGTGCGACGTCTCGTCGAACATCCTCTCTTTGCCCTCCTTGAAAAGCTTGATCGCCTGTTTGCACTTCCTGTTCAGGTTCTCGATGAACACTCGAAAGTACTCGTTGTCGTTCAGCAAGTGCATCTTGTCCTCGTGTTTGCTGTAGATCACCCGCAGATGCTGGTACGTATCCGGCAGGATGTCCAAAATGAACGGCGGGCTATTTTTCAGGTTCATTCGCGAGTGCTGGCACAGCTTGACCACTTTGTCCATAAGCTTCCACGTCTTCTCGATAGTCCGTCGGTCGATCACAAACTTTGGAGGTGCCATCGCTTCGGAAAATGCGCCGTGTATTCGACTAAATAGCGACGTAATGTTCATTGCTTGTAAATTCTTAGACCTACTATTCACCGCCATCTTACATCGCCTGGCTATTCACCCTGAACTAGAAAACTACCCACAATGCACAGCTCGAGAAAAATAATTCACGCACAATAAACATTACTTTTCATCTCCAATACAATAACGCAAAACAAGTATCATCGTAACTTTTAAATATTGTGTTTTAATATACACTTAACGAGGTAGTTACTTTCATTTAGACAAATATTTTGCTACCACCCGTTTCGCCACTTCGTCATCCTCTTCCAACATGGCCACCTCGGTGGACGTCGACGATACAAGCTGGTGAGCCGGGTTAGATTTTTATCTTGTTTACCAAATGACTACTTCTACCTAGCTATGCCCGATTCAAAGCGTCTTGTGCAAGAGCCTGAAACGTCTGATAACGCTGTAGTTCTTTTCGCTGGTGGTCGACTTACGCATATGATAAGTGTTGGCAGTGCTTGCTTAAGCGCTCTTTAATTTTGCATGCCAGCAGTTCTCATTCTCTGGCTTTTGAATAAAAGCGCTGATAATGGCGAAACCTGCCTAATAGTATATAGCGTGTTTGTGCACAGTACTGGAAGTGAATTCTCAATCAGCCGATTTGTTGTCGACAGCGTGTGTTCCGCTGTTGCCGAAGTGTTGACATGGGATCTTGCCGCCCGTCATTGACACATCATGCTGCTAATACTCCAGGAATCCTAGACTCTCGGCACACGTGTCCATGAGTACTTGATCTAGGTAGTGAATTTAAACGTACAGTTTCTTCTCTGATAATTCGAAGCGTCAACGAGGCAGGCGCCCTCGCTTTTGAGTTGCCGTGTGGCCTCCTTTGGAAACTTTTCCGAAACTTGTAGTGCACCCCTCGTACGCATCTCACATCAGCGCGCCTGGAATTTTATCTCCCGTGCGCTAACAGAGCGAGCTGTCTCTAAAATAAAAACAGGTTTCGATATCTCTCCCCGAGCATGACTGCGTGGTGCTGAGCTTCATAGTTGGAAGATTACTTGTGTGTTAGCATTATTTTGCCCCGCGCCAAAAGTTGGTTTCACGTAAGATTCAATTTCCAAACGTCATTGATCTTTGACGAATTTTCCTCAACGTAGCGTTCGCTTCTTATTACGTCCTCACCGTGACTTTTAAAGGGCGTTGCAGGCGCTGTCAAGACTCGCATCATTGGGACCGGTCTAGCCTCGTTAATTGTTGTCGTATTTGACATATTCTTGCTAAACCGCGTTACTGCTCCTCAAGATGCGAACTTTGTCACTGTACAAGTGTTGTTGATCACATGTTGACCCGTATAATTGACTTTGACAAAAACTTTCCGACTTTAGGTTTCCGAGACCAGAACTTGATTTCCGAAACCTAAATTAGGAAAATTTCAAAGAAAGTGTTAGTTTAGCAAGAGTAATCCTGTGTATAATCTGGTATGCCTTGGTAGCTTTTAACTGGGTTCTGCTTATAAATTAGAGGTTGTAATATACTTCGATCTTAGTGTTTTCTTTTAATATTGATGCACTGTAAATAAAATGTATGGCCATTCATGCCCATTAACTGTGGACATGTATTCGCATACTTACTGTACTGCAAAGGTTAGCACAACGACAGACTCGATAACTCGATGCTTTCTGCTCGCAAAAGTAAAAGCATGCCTGTCAACAGCTCAAGCCTTAGCAAACACATTACTACAAATGGCCTTAGAAGCTCGTGTCTGAAATCTTTTAACAGTGCCCCCATTTTCTCTCATTCACTATGGATGGCATTCTGGGTTTCTTCACCCTAATATATTTTTTATATTTACTTTTTCATGTATGTATGTAATGTTCCTTTATTATTTTTTTTCCTCTGCAAGGCTATTCACTGCTTCTTACTTCCTTTTCGTGCAGAGAGGGTCTTAAAGGGCCAGTGTCTCACTGTTTCTGTTTATTCTCTCTCATTTTTTTTTCTTGCGGCCACCACTTGAAAGGATGCAAGAGCTGGAGAGTGCCCTCCTTTCAGAATGCGACCTGAATACACTGCGCCAGGTTTCCAAGATGAAGCCAGTCCCAGAATGCTTTCGTGCATACGTTTGGAAGGTGAGTATTTGGGGGAAGGAAAAGGGAGTGATGATCATGCTACTGGAAAGAGCATGCTGAGTTTCTGTTCGCTTCAGTTGCAGCATTCTGCACAGATCTGCACAGTATATAGGAGTTAATTCGAAGGGCACAAAAATGGCACACAGATGAGACCACGAGAGAATGCTTCTCAGGGTAGATCTTAAGGTAAATGACAGTGCATGCGCAGGGGAGAGAGGATTCAGCAGCATTTGCATCATCTGATAACAGCAGCGGAATTGGCGAGTTAGGCATTGTTCTGGGTATCGGCGCAAGTATGATTCGATATTGAGGGCTCGAAACGTGGCATTTTATGCGCTTGTCGACATCGGTGTGCTGACTTGCTATGGATCATTTTGGAAATTTTTGTACCTATGTCACTGCATCGTGCTGTCTTTCTTTTCTTTTGCCACTTCAACGTTGAGCTTTTAGGCAGCTCTTGAGAAACAAAGGTGAAGGTGGTTATTGAACTAACTGACCCAGGTCTGGCATTTGCACCCGATCTCGTGATGCATACACTAGTGTTTATGAGTAAGTGTAACGCATCTTATTCACGAAGAAAAGGAGTGGGAGCTTTAATGGCTCAATTTACATTATTAGACACGGTGTTATTGAGAACTAACAGACAATAATGCCAAGGAAAGTATAGGGGGATGTTGTTAGTAGTAAATCTAACGTAAATGTGAAGAAAGCAAAGTGGACATAAGGATAACTTGCCACGGGAGATAACGCTTGCCTTCATGGCTACTGGCGGCGTTGACTGACGCTCCTACGATTAAATGACCATACATACCCCACAAAGTGGATGGAGGGAATAGCCACCACAGTAGCTCTATTGATAGAGCATCAGACGTGTTATTCAAAGGTCGCAGGTTTTGTCCCTCCGAAGGCAAGTTTCTGTCTTTACATCCACTTTTCTTTCTTTCTTCACATTTACATTTTATTCACTGCTAATAACATCCCCTATACTTTCCTTTGCATTATTGTCTGTTGGTTCACATATTTCACTATATTTGGTCATAAATGCTAGCACAGTGTTGTCTCTTCAGTTTTCATGGTGTTGCCTGTTTTGTGTAAAGTGAAGTGCAATTTAGTGTCTTCAACGCTGCCCTGAGCTGTACATATCAGGATAGCGCATCAGATTCTAAGTACGTACGGCACTCTCAATTTCCTGAACATATTTTACGCTACTGTAGACAATTGTAATTTGACCTGAATGTGAAATCGGGTATACACCAAGCACGTTACTAGAAGACGTTGATGCCTGGATGATTGTAGGCAAGGTTGGCATGTCGCTATGTAGTTTGTTCTTGCTTCTAGACATCTTTTGTGATAATGATTCTTACTAATTTAGTGTGCAACAGACAGATGTTCTTCAGGAGTATAAAGCATGAGATTGCCAGTTTTGTTTGCACACTGGAAAGAATTTTTCAGAGTTCACTTGCAGGTGCAGAATTTTCATAAGTTATATATAATGTGGATGTTATTGTACACTATCATGTAAAACCCTGGAAATCGTCATTTTTGCCTACTCAATGCACAAAGGAAACTGTGGTGACATTAGATAGTTATAGTTTACCGTTAGCGTGATAGTGGAGGTTAAGGGAATGGCGTTACCGTGCAAGAAACGTTCATTGTGGACAGCGTCTTATAGTTTAGCGGGATAGTGCTTACGTGCTTTATGTGCCCCAGGCGGGACGGTGGCGCCATTTATCCGATAGTTAATAAGTTTAAGAACTGTGAAAAGGAAAAGAAAACAAGAATGTTTGCCTTTGCCACCACATAAAGCATTGTTACAAGTTTATTCAAGCATCATCATCAGCCTGACTACGTCCACTGCAGGACAAAGGCCTCTCTCATGAAAACATTTATGCTGCCAACTCGCTTACATCGATATTGTAGTTAGGCCTAGGCGCGTCGTTCGAAATTGGAAGCTATCTCAAAAACTACACCAACTTATTCGTAATACTCAGTCATCGGAGCTAACTGAAGGCAAGTGAAGCCACTTGAAACAGTCATTTGCTGTGAACAAAGTGAATATTTCAACAACTACGCCAAAATCACTTCGAAGCGGGCGTCCTAGAGCGCTGCCATGTTATACGTACACCTACACTACCACGGGAACGTTCAATCTGAAAAATAGCGTGCGTACAGTAAGCAGTATGGGTAACGTACATATCTGCGCCCGCTATCACGGTACGCCCGGTATACTATAACTGTTTCTTCATTTTAGCGGTTGTTGCCCATAGCGTGGGAGGTGATCACGGTTGCGAAAGCACCCTGTTCCTCTCTGGGCGTGCGTGCACTTTTGTATCTCTCCTTTGAAGTGGTTCTTTATCGTTCTTCCAGATAAGCTTGGGCGTCAAAGGTAAAGAACTTGGTGATTGGGACGAGATTTATGACCTTGCGGAGCAGTCACTGATTAGAAAAGACTGTCAGGCACTTGTTGGTGAGTTGATCGTGTATTTTGCTCCTTCTTTGTCTTTTTGCAGTCATTCTTGTCATCGGAGAGGAAGAGACTAACAAAGCACTTCAATAAGACATGGCACATGTCTTTTGCTTTTTGCAAATCATTCAGTGTGTATCTAGTGAATAAGAGGTGACAGCACATTTGTCAGGGGGAGCTACTACGCATGAACTGAGTCACTTTGATTAGTTGAGCCAATCTGTGTTCACATTTACTTGCAGGTTGAAGCTATAGTAACAGTAATCATTTGCACCTGGCGTGTGCAAGCAATAGAAATTGGCACGTTCAGTGACTTGACGGATCTCTTAGCACGAGAACACTGGGAAATCAATATCATTAGTCAATGGTGCACCTGCCTACAAAATATTCAGTATAACCAATGCTCGCATGTGTAGACATTGTCCTTCTCCGTGGTCGGCGCCGGGTAAGCACGTGTTTTCCTTCGTCCGCGTCCTCTTTGAGAATCGCCGGACTGTAGCCTGCCTGGGGTGGCCTTGGGCACCTCAGCAGGCGTGTTTACTTGAGCGCTAGCTTCGGTAGCGTACGCTAAGCCCACAGCGGTGCTGTCACTGGTGCTAGAAAGTATGCAGAAAATGCTACTGCTGTGGTGTTAGGGGTTATGGCATTGTGCTAGTACTAAGCATTAGGTAGCAGGATTGAATTCTTGCCATCATGAGTGCATTAAAAAAATGCAAGATGCACAGGTACTTCCTGCCAAGTGTGTTCAAGAAGCCCAGGTAGTCAGAAATAATGCCGAATTTTCTTTAAAGGGGCTCAGAAATACTTTTTTGAGTACCCATAGAATTAATTCCTTGGAAAAGCTTATTGCATCACAAATCCAACGCTGCAAAAACTTTTGAGAGAATCTGTCCAGTACGAGTGGAGTTACAAAGATTTGTCACGTGCTGCAATCGCATTCTCTCGTCTCGAAGAAAGCACTGTAAGCTAAGCAGGGAGGGATGGGAAGGGCAAACAAAGAATGTCACGTGTGCTTCGTGATGTTGAGCACTATATATTTTTTTTTTCATCGAATACGCGACTTTTTCAGTGTGATCGTGCGCACATGCATGGACAAGTGATGGCCTTTCACGGCTATTTTTGTAACAACCGAGCGTGCCATGTTCAAATAAGCCAATAGCTGATTGATGGGTCATCTACGTGTGATTTTTGGGCATATTTCGTGATTTGTCGAGAGAAGAGAAAGCAATTTTTGGCTGACTGTGATCATTTATTGCGAATTCCAATGTATCCTTATCACATGATAGGCCATTGTAACTTGGTTAGGTTAAGATGTTTGTGCTGCCGTAGTGTCAAAAATAGTTGTTTTCTTGCAGATAGGTTTGGTAATGATGAAGAGGAAAAGCTGTCTGTCCTGTGTGACCTTGAGTCTGTGCTGACCCGGTTCTGCAAGACCACCGGCTTCCACTACGAGAGCAGCAATGGTTGGATGGAGGTACTGGAGCCCCTCATCGCGCTCCACTTGTCAAAAGAAGAGCTTTACCTTTGTTTCCATGCCCTGATCACCACCTACGTTCCTAGGTAAGCCTGCAGCTTAAACTATTGCTTTTAATGATTGTTGTTAATCTCTTAGTTAATTATCCTTTCACGATATCAAATGGTCCGCTTTTTCTAGGATTGTTTTCCTCACTAGTGCTAGTACACAAAATGTCAAATACATTGTAAAACAGAGGACAACTGGGCAAGTTGATGGGGTAAAATTATTTAAACTTCAGTTGATAGTGTGCACACTAGTCTATGAGTCCTTAGGGCGAAAGCCTTAAGTTGCTATGTTGGCTCCACAAGACTTGTGCGAGACGGCATAGGTCTTGCATGGTCTGACAAGGCCTTGCGAAAAACCCACGTGACCTTGTCGAGCCACATCACATGATGGCGTCATCAAATTACTTCTCTTGGTCAAAAGTGGGCAGATCACAAAGCCAATGCAAAACCACGTGAGGTGCAAAATGCATTTTGTGGGGTGAGGAGAAAGGGTGGAGGGAGGATTGATTCAATTACGTGAGATGTAAAAGAAGGCCTTCAAGTTGTCTTGGCAAATGAATGATAGACTGTTTGAATTTTAGTTCTCTGTCTGCATCTTTGGAGCTGTGTTTATTGACAGTGCCATCAAAGGCATGTTACCTTTCTCCAAAAGAGCCAATTTTCATCAGATTTCAAAGCAATAACATCATCTCTAACCTAGCAATTACTGTATACCATATTCTCAAGTGCTTGTTATTTACTCTAAAATATTCGCTAAAATTATGGACATTTTAGTTACATCAAAACAGGATACACATTCTAAGTAAAATCCTGCCATCATAGCATTGTAATCTGTAAAATATAACACTGTTGAAAAACCACATTGTGAAGGGTGGATTGTCGCTTAGTTTTTATAGCTTCTGTAACATTGCCCGATATATATGAAATGAAATTAGTGTTTTTGTTGCCACCAATGACAGGCTTACACTAAAAGTGTTGCCACCAATGCAGGCTTACTTGGGAGATTTGTAGGCTGTATATATGTGCGCACCATGAGGAATTCTGCACATTTGATTGAGCCAAAGGAAAAAGGTGTGGTTATTATCTGGTCACTTGAACTACAGCATATTCATCTGATAGAGTTGTGCGTTTTGAAAGTTAGGTCTTGTTGCCCGTGGCCCATATCTGTCACACTTCTGAGTATCAATGCAAGGATAAGTATTTCATACAAAGAACCCAAAACGTAGCATTTAATTTTTTTCCGAGCATTAGTGCGCTGATTTATGGTGGGTGTTGAAAATATTTTTGTAGTTATTTATCGTGCATTCTTTCTTGTCTTTTCAACTACAATATCGTGCGTTTCCTCACAAATATAAATGCTTTTATTTATCAGCCTCAGGTCTTGTATTTTTGCCTGATTCCATGTTAATTGTGTGTGCTCACATTTTCCACTATGTGTAAAACATACTGTATGTGTTCATTTTTTAGATAGGGGATATGGCAAGCTATTTCTTGGTCACGAAAACTAGCACAGAGGGTTCTGTTGAGTTGCCATAGGGTTGAATGATGGGTAGGCTGAATCTATGCATGGGGCTGTTGTGTGTGCACAGGAATTGCGTGAAAGATGGAGCCCCTTTCCACCTTCTGCGGCTGCTGCTATTGTACCATGACCCAGAACTGTGCTCGTTTCTCGACACTATGAAAATCACCCCAGACTGCTATGCCCTGCCTTGGGTGAGAATACTTTTTGTGTGTTTTTTTGGCTCTTAAGTTTCATCTCCTGTCTGTTAAAAATGTTCTCGTATCGAAGTAATCATAAAAGCGCACTTTATTTTGACTCACAGGCTTAAATTGTGTTTGAGCAAAACTTCTTTGAATCGGTATGCCCATTAAATGTGCTATTTGGAAGTGATTTCAGAACCTGTGTCTCAGCCTATGATGTTGTCGTAAGGTCAAAGTCTGAGTCAATTGGTGTGCTATGCTGAAAGAATAAACCTGTCAGAACGATGAAGGGAAGATGTGGCTCACACGACTGGACTACAGTAAAAGTTGTTAGATCGGCCCCTGCTAATTTGAAAAATATGATAATATGGACATGCTCTCTGGTCGTGGCAAGCATTTTTATTGTTTAATGGCATCAAACTCTCTTCAATTCGGTCATATTTATTCGCAACTCGGTGAGTTCAGGCAATTGTTAGACGTGCCGAGCTCCACAATTGTGTGACGCAAAAGAGCGAAAACAGCGTCGATGGACAACCTGCAGAAAGGCGTGGTCGCCAATTGGATTCTCGTCCCAATTGCATTGTTGGCAACCAAGGTTTCGGCACCTGCGGCAAATTTGTTTTGTTTTCGATTTCTTTTGGAGTCTTTGGCCGTGTAACATTGTGAATGAAGTAACCAGTGATGAAAACTGTCGGTTCTACTCTGCTCTCATGAAAATATCTGCTGGAATCACCTATTCATCAAAAATGGAAGTCCGTTGATATAATAGACGCTTGTTCATTGTTTTCTCGGTGCTTTCAATAATTTAGTTTTCGGATAAATCACTCATTTTTTTCTGGTTTCATGAAACCCATTTCAACGAGCTTTTATGGTATCAACTGTGTTTTATTACCGAACACCCATCTTCCATGGTAACCAAGAACGCATAGACTGTTCTAACAAGAATATAAAAGATCTAAAAGAAACCATAACCAAGGAACAGGTTGAACGTGAAATCCTTTGAGCCTGGCAGCACATAGGCTGTCCACTTTTAGTATTACGTCCATTTCATTGACACAGATGGAGCTTAGGTTCTTGTCACTTTGGTGTTAGTGTCCCGAGTTTTTTTAGGTAGCTTCTTTTCTTAATTTTTGTTTTGAGCGAAGCATGTGCATTAGGTTTTCCTAAAAGATTGTATTTGTTAATGAAGCACAGTTGGTAGTCTAGTCACTGTGTGTGTCACTTCTCTCCTTTGTCCTTCGTCGATTTGACTGGCTTATTCTTCTCACCCCGCCGCGGTGGTCTAGTGGCTAAGGTACTTGGCTGCTGACCTGCAGGTCGCGGGTTCAAATCCCGGCTGCGGCGGCTGCATTTCCGATGGAGGCGGAAATGTCGTAGGCCCGTGTGCTCAGATTTGGGTGCACGTTAAAGAACCCCAGGTGGTCGAAATTTCCGGAGCCCTCCACTACGGCGTCTCTCATAATCATATGGTGGTTTTGGGACGTTAAACCCTACAAATCAATCAACTGGCTTATTCTCCTAGGACTGTGGTTCTGTAACTTTGAACTATGAAGTGAAAATAACCAGAAAGTGAAATAAGGTTTTCTTGGCTGCCTTAATATAATCACAACAGGCGCACGGTCACTGCACCCCATGTCGTTTATGGTGCCTTGGAAAGACGGCAAAGTGCGCTCTCCATAAAGGCATGCTGGCTCAACTCTAGATGCACTTGCTTGGTAGACGTTTTGTGTTTATTTCCCAAAATTACGGTTTTTAGTTCGTTTCAGTGGCAGCTCTGCATGTAGTTACAGCAGTATTCAGTTATAACTGTTTCTAAAATGTCATTCGCCTCTGCTTCCTATCATTTTGAAATAGAATACGGGAAACCCGCATTATGTGGGACGATATCACGATTTTGGCACATCGCATCCATACAAAAGTGTGTAAACAATGGGGACATGACAGTTGTGCTTGTGTTCAGTGGCAAAAACTTGCATTTCCTGCTCTCTCAGCTGTGACGTCATTGCACTGCTTGTCCATGCCATCGTGAATGGACAGATTTTTTTTCACAAGCTCCTTTCTTTGTGCTTCTTTCTTGTGCATAGCAAGGACACTTGAATTATAGACCTGAAGGATTGTGTAGCGAGCATGGGAATTAGTACTGACGAGTGTTCATTCCAGCAGATAAGGTGGCAGTATTGAGAGTTTCTAGTTTTAAATACTTAATCTTACTTCTTTCTCGTGCCTTCCAGTTTCGGAGTCTCTTCTCGTCCACGTGTGACCTGAAAGTGATCCAGAACATGTGGGATATCTACCTTCAGCTGGCTGACCCGTTCCTTCTGTTCTATCTCAGCCTTGTGCTCTTGGCAAACACCAAGTAATTACATTGGCTTGATGGTTGTCTCTCATTTGGCTGGCAGTGGCTTTCATGGTAATTTTTTGCCTTGCAGAGAAGAAATTATGTCGAGGAAAGGTGACGGCAAAGCTGCAATCATAGGTGAGTGACTGCTCTTTGTTTATTTCTTATCTGGCGCAGCTGCCAATAGGAGGCTTTAGAATAAAGGATGCTTGGTCACACTGTGACCTCGACATGCAGTGCACACATTAGACTGAACTGAGTAGGGTCCTTTCAGGCTAAACATCCCTGCCACATTGGTAACCATCTCAAATGTATTTTTTAAAAATAGTGGTGATTTTTCGGCACGAAAACAATTGCTGGAATGTTTTGAAAAGAAAACTTTTTTTCTCACAAGGGAGCCTTTAGAATTTTGCATGATCTTGTCTGAGGGATGTTTGTCAGAAAACTTGTCCTACAATATCATTTCTCATTTAAGTACCAAATAATTTGGTTAGGGCATATATATAATCATATTATGCAAAGGTGTTTGTGTAAGGTGTTCAAACTTCAGTGGTCTTCAGTTTTTCTGCCACATATGATCCCATAAACATTGCCAAAGTGTTTTCTTTTTACATTTTTTTACTTTTAATATTGTGCTATGTCTGAATATTTGAATGGTCAATACTTACTCTGCGGAAGGTGCATTTTGAGATAAAAATACTTTCAGATCACTGAAGAGTTGTAAATGTTACAAGGAAAAAATCGGGCATTTGAGGAAATCTTCATTTTTGTCTACGTTCAAGTGCAATTCACACCATGTGGTGCCTAATTTAAAAACCATCATTGTAACTGAATAAAAAAAAAAACAAATATATCTTGGGGGGGGAAATTGTCTAATATCATTTTTTTTGCTTTAATCATAAAAATGGTTCTTGAAGTTCCCTGTCAATAGAAATCTTCGCTTTCGTTCATATGGCAGCTTCCTCATTAAAGTGCCTTATTGCCGTCAGTGGGGAACTACTTCAAGAACTATTTTCTTCCTAGGTTGGGAACAAGTGAAATAAGCATGCTCATAGCTCTGGAAACTACATGTCTTGCAGTTTCGGTGTTGTAAGAATATGCTTGACCACTATTGTAGCAGTCTGTACCAGATTTGTCTGCATTCTTTTCAACCTCTTTCCATTTTCTTTTTTCTTTTCCAGAACTCATATCATCTGCTCCTTGTGCCTTAGAAGCAGAAGACATTGAAGATTTCTGCTCACTCGCCCAGTTTTACTCAACGAGGACTCCCCTGTCTTTTAGTCGGGTACGCTTTGCCTTTATTGAAAACGACATCGGGCTGCAGTGATAAGAAGAGTGTGAAATGAAAGAACATGGGAAATAAGAAGATGCAGACAGACATTACTCCAGTGCAATGCGTTACACCAATTCATGGAAAGCCGACAAACAGGCTTGCAGTGACGCACACTTGTGGGCTGACGTTCGCAGGCACCCAAATCTTTGAAAAATGTTAAAGAAAACCTTGAAATTTGACCTTTAGCAATGTACTTGAGAAATATTTAGGCCCATCTATAGGAAGCGAGAAGTCCTCCCTTCCTCTATCTTATGCGAAAAAACTTATACGAAAAAACTTTTTCTATAGCCAGATGTAAATTTTTTTTCAGAAAGCTCAAAACCAAGGCTCGTAAAACGCATCATTTAAAATTATACTCTTCCTAAAATATCTGTGGACAAAGTATTTTTATATAACAGTGTTAGGCTCTTTATTATTAAAATAACTTTTATGAACTTTTATGCTTACGATTTATTTACGGGACTTTAATTATGGACATTGTGGTCCATGTTGGGAATTTTTTTTTTATTTTGAGGGGATTTTTTTTATAGACAAATAACCACTAATGAACTGGGCAGCTTGTATTAGCTGATTGTCAGGAAAGTTCTCCTGTTAGCAAAAAATAATTTGAGGCGTACTGCGGAACCTCGATGATACGATCTCCATTTTTGTGACGGTCCGCATATGATAATGAAACAAATTTGTACCAGCAAAACTTCCATAGAGATAATGTATTAAAAACCTCAGTTATACGATGCAGTTAGCACCAACCAGGCACCGTATGGTAACTGATGTCGCCGGGTAAAAAGAATTTTTTAAAACTATGAGTTGATTTATTTATTTACTTTTTTACTCATTTGATGCCGCTCAATAATATTGTCCACTTATCATATTTCCACGATTGCAGGTCGACCCATTTTGTCTTAATTTTAAATCCGAAGTTGGGGGGTCGACCTATAATCAGAAACTAGTTTCGGTTGTAGGCTTTCTGAAAATAATCCCCACGTATTACCGCAAAGCCAGCTTTTTTGCATAGTTTTTTAAACACCATCATGAATCCACCTTGGCATGCCAAAATCAGACTTGGAGACATCGTAAATAAGTTTGTGTGTGTGTGAAATACACCTGTACTCCTCTTTTTTCCTTTTTTTTTTCTTTGCGATTTTAGAGGGTCTGTCTACATTTGAGTTGACTTGCAATCGTGTTAATACAGTACTAATTGATCCCTGTGTAACAATCGGTAGACGATGTTGCTTTCTTAGGCAGTAGTCCAGGCTGATAAATGTGCTCATCTTCTACGTGCAGGAACATCATGCCATCATATTTGGCTCAGAAGAATGTGTGGACAAGGACCTTCCCCAGGCACTATGCCTGCCTGTGTCTGTCTCCGAGCTTGTCACGACAAACAGGCTGGAAAGGGTAAGCCTTGGCCACTGTATCACGTACACGTTACATTTGCACACCACATTGTCCTTATATGTTCTCTGTTTACACAATAGTGCATAGATTTGTTTTCTGGTTTCATGCCTGCAGTCACCATTTCGTAATAAGATTGCGTACTGAGTGACACCAAACAGCAAGAAAGAGTCACTCGCCGAAATGGCAACAGGTGGCCCTGACTGACGCTCCCACATTTAATGCACATATATACTCAATCACATTTACATTGCAATTCTAATAACTCCCCTATACTTTCCCTGGCATTATTTTCTATTCTTGTTAATGTTGTGTCTAACAAAGAAAACTAGCCCTTAAATGCAGACTTTTCTCCTTGTGAAAAGTTATTTAAGAACAGCTGTGCGCCAAACATTTTTATAGAGCACATTTTTGAGTTTTCCATTGTACTGACATCATTATTTTTTTTCTTTTCCTGTTGGGTGCCTCTTTTATTGGTCTCTACAGATGCAGCTGGCAGCTGGTATCGTTAATAACCATACACAAACATAGTATTAAGTGCATGCTTTTGAAGGAGAGTTCATGTCTGACGCATTTTGGACGCTGTCCTTCTGACAGCTCGTCACAAAGCTTCAGCTTTTCCATTCTTCGTGTGCGTTCATGCACGTTTGTGTACGTAGAGGTGATTTACAGACACTCAACTTTTGTTGTAAGTGGAGCAGGCCTTTCACTTAAACGGACACTAAAGGCAACTGTTAAGTCGACGTTGATTGTAAAAATAGCGGTCCAGAAACCTCATAGTGTTACTTCTGTGATAAGGAAGGGCTTGTTCTAAAATGAAATCACAGTTTAGTGGTCCGCATCGGGTTAGCGCACTTCAAATTACCCGCCTCAAGCAGCAGACCAACTCACGCCACTGTTGTCTTACTCGACGTTGCCCAGAAATGAAAGCAGCGAGAGCCACAGCAGCAACAACGGCCATTGATCAATTTCCTGCCATTGGCTCCGAGATTGCAGACGTGTTTTGGTTCAACTGGGTCCTGCCAGATGACACAATATGTTTAGTTTAACCACGCGAAAATTAAATTTTTGAACTACTTGTGCCATTCCTCATAGTAACGTCCCGCGGCTCTTTTTTCCATGAATCAAACAGAAACGAACAAGCAGCATTTTACTGCGTCTCTTGATGCACGGAAGGTTCTTTATTTAGGGCAGCTAGATCGATTACTAGTGAATATTGTAGGGTGTTCGTCTGACCAATAAAACGACATGGTTGTCTGAAATTAACAAAGGTCACAGTTTCACCACAAGGGCGAAGCAATGCGACAGCAACACACTTGGAATGTAACACTGATAACGGCAAGCAGATCGAAACGTGCATCGCACTGCTCACGCACAAATGACACACAAAAGCGACTTACTTGGGACGAGAGCGAACTAACAACGTTTACCGCTCGACACTTAAGAAAAACAAGGCACGAAACGTAATCGCAGGTACAGATATAAGTGCGAACTAACAATGTGCCCCAGTTGTTACTTGCTGTGTTTGAAAAGCGCACTTTTTTCGCAAACGGCACCTGTCCTGCAATCGAAGTGATCTTTGTGCACCTCGCAACTAAACGCAATCGTTCCGGTCAAAGCCAAAGGCGCACGATTCTCTTCACCAAAGGCACAAGAATAGGTGCAGTGCATGTATTTCTGACGTAAATTGTTATTTGACTTTAGTGTCCCTTTAAGTTCACATTGTTGTTGCTGCCAGCACTCTTTTCTTCTGTCATCCTTAGCTTTTGTTAGAAGCTCTTGGGGCTGCCTTTACTAAATCATTGTACTTCGGTGTAATCGCACTGCCAAACAGAAGCAGTTACAAAAATTTTCTGGAGACAACAAGCAAAAGTTATTCAGCCTTGAAAATCAAAGGACAATTATGCAAACAGGAAAGTATGTTTTTTAGTAATTCACTTGCACAGCTAGGTCACAAGCTGCTACCGCTTGGTGGGCATGTACCAAAGAAGTAATGCGTGACTTTACTCTTTGCAGCATACATTGGTGCGCTACTTTGTGGTGGATTGCAGGCCTGCCGACCAGTACAACAGTGGGCACCTCAAAACAGCATTTCACTTGGATGCCAGCTTGGTTGGTGCAGCGTTTTGAGTTTATCATTTTTCTGTCTCTGTTCAGGCTTCAAAATTTTCTATTGATTGATCGAGCGAGTGAGTGAATGTGATGTTTCTGTAAAATGCAGCTCGCACAAGTGGCACAAGGCTGGAAAGAACAGCAGAGGCAGCATTCAACATAGCTTTCTCAATGCTTTTGCTAGTAATGCTTAGGCTTTGCTGAAGATGTCAAGGTTTTGTTGAGAGTATTGAGTGCAGCTGGGCTTGGCTATAGCATTTCTCTAATTTCAATCAGTTTCCGACATGACATGTGGGAAACTATTTATTATGTTCCTTGCAAAATCACTCTTGTGGCTTTGGAGGGGACATGCGATATTACTACCTCTTACAGGATGTTGTGTAATTTTCGTTACTTGACTAGCTGTTACGTGGTTTTTGGTGAGAACATCACATGACGATATGTTACGTGACTATGTAGTTACTTGATGTTATGCAATTTTTCGTCGCATGACTAGATGTTCTGCAGATTTAGTCCCATGATGATGTTATTGTCAGTCGGGTAACAAACTTTCCTATCATAATTATTGTATTCTGCATTAGACATATTGACACAGCCGTCGTGAAAGTGAAGCAGAAGGCGAAGAGGACAAGTCGAGTGCATGTCAGTTCATGAGGATAGTTTCTGTTCACACTGCCTGGCTCAACGAAAAGCTGAAATAGCTCTGCTGTTAAAAAAAAGGGAAATGTTGTTGTGCACATTTAGACTACTGTATCAGGTGTCTCAAAATTAGTGCACACGAGGGTTTAGTGTTTCACTCCAATTGAAATTTGCCCACGGAAGCCAGTAATCGGACCCTCCACCTTGTGCCCTGAGCCAATCCAGTCAGATCATGTTGGCTTGGGTTTTGACTAGCATATTTACTTATAACTTAGTAATATGCATTTTGAACATGTATTTGAGCTTTCTTACGAACTGGTTATCGAATAGTCGAGACTGAAAATTCCATACTTTGCCAAGTGGTCCTTTGCTAACTGTGTACTAACTCCCTTATGGGCGTATGCATGGCCTGGTATGTAGACCTGGTGTTTACGAGTGGCAACTTTGAAGACTGGGCTCTTTTAACTGAATTAGCACTTCGACTCGTGGTGCTTGCGGCATCTTGATACCAAAAAATGATGCATTTGGGCTGATAAGACGGGCCCGACTTAAAGAACAAACAATGCCTGCTTTATAACTGTTTTGATATACACGGGCGCATGAGAGGTTATGCGCACAACTTCCAAATCAAAGGCACTTGCCGACATCACTTCTGGTTCAAACCGATATGCACTGGTTTGCATGTTTATTAGGCCGTGCTCTCCAGGGTGCTCCATGACAGAGCCCACAACTGCTGCAAGGTGTTACCCCACAAAGCAATGCCAGCTACTCCTGTGCTCTACACAGATGTGGATGGGGCAGTATCCCTGTGGAGGCTTAATTCATCAAGAACATACATATATGCTGTTACAATGCTGCCACCTACAGTCATGTCTGAATTTTCGGCTCATGTGCTGTGTAAGACTAGTAGGGAAGTGACACTACTTACAGTTGCACTCGTGTTGCATAATCATACTTTTGCCACTGCTTGACTTGTATTATGAAGTACAATATTGACAAATAAACATTAAAAGTAATAATACCAACACAATAATAATACAACAAAATAAAATGCTATAGCTGCATTGTCAAGAAAGATAAGAAGCCTGCATTATGTATCAAAGAGCAAATGCGAGTGGCTGATGCTCTGGTCAAGACTGGAAGGCCAAAATGTAGTTGTGCATGTCGTGTAATGCACTAAGTGGTCTGTACTTGCCCTGGTGGCTTAAAGGGCCAGTCAAAAGGCTCAGACATTTTTTTACACCCCCGATGAAGCTAGGCGATTCATAGAGTAAACCAAAGCGATCATGTTTTCCAAATATTGCAGCGCTGAGCTGCGCAGAGCCTCCATTTCGAAAAACAAATCCCGTACTCCTTTCTTATGCGTGACCAATCCTCCTTTCACATGCAGTGATGCGAAGTCGTCGATTGGGGACTTGACGTAGCACGAAGCACGTTGATTGGTCTAAACCAATCACAATGGCCAGCTAGGCCTTCGTCTCCGTGTGAGAGAGAAGGGTGGGGAAGCCACCCGAAAATTTTAAACCAGTTGGTACCGATGTTACAACCCCTGTAACTTCCTCAATACAGCATGTGTTTGCAAAATTCTCGTGGTAGCATGTTCCCAAAGCAAAAGTGCACATATTTCTTTTTATAGCAATTGTCGGACCTCGGTGTTGTTTACTGGCCCTTTAAAGCAACTATGGCAGTGTGCTTCTGAGCATTAAGACGTGGGTTTGATTCCTGGCTGGACCAGCAATATTTCACGAAAGGTGAAATGAGCGAACACTCATGTACTTGAATTTGGGTGCATGTTAATGAACACCAAGTCGTCAAAATTAATATGTAGTCCCCTGATACTTGTGTGCCTGTTATAATGTTGTAGCTCTGGTGATTAAACTTTAGGGTTTTTTTATTATTTTAGTTTATTTTGTTCGTCGGCAGAAAGTGAGTGCCATGTAAAAAAGAAATGTATTTCGGGGATGTAGAAAACTACATTTGATGATGCAATTGGCGAACTCAAAGGCGTAGGATGGGTTCAGGCTAAATGAGATGCATGTATGCAATATTATCATAAACTCTTGGCAAGCGACACTCTCTTAAACATAATTGCTGCTTAAATGGAACTGCCTCTAGTATGATAACATTTAATTTGAATTCTGCCCCCTGTTCATTCCTCAGTAAATAGAACTCCTCTTAACAGAACACATCTTTCTGGTTTAATTTGGTTCAGTTTAATGAGTGTGTACTAGTATATGTTTAGTATTATTTTTTTATTGAATGTCTCTGTATTGCACTCGACTCATGATTGACTGATGAACATTAGGAAAGTGCGGCAAACATTGCTGTCACTGTACGTTAGCTGAACAAACTGTTGGTCTAGTTGGCCATCCATCAACACTGAAACCATAGAAATGAACACTGTGGAGTGGCACTATTGTGTGCCTCTCTTTTTCTATGTTGCTGTGTTCTATTAATGTCATTGTTGCACTATACTTCTTTGGTGTCTTTGTTGCACTTGTTCGCAAAGAAGTGCGAGTATTTTTCCCCCTTGTTTGTCACTCCAGCTTACGTTGTAATCTCTGGTGCATCCCGTATAGATGCTGCAGGAGCCGCGTGCCTTTGAGACGGCTGTGCAAGCGCTGTTTGCAGCCCAGAAGCAGTCGATGGAGGCCAACTCGGTGGCCAGCGGCGAGCACCTCTGCTTCATGGGCAGCGGCCGGGAGGAGGAAGACCAGTACGTGCACATGGTGATCTCGAGCTTTCTTCAGAAGCACCTGCAATACGTTGGCCTCGTCCGGGGTGGATACAAAGGCAAGCAGTGTTCCTTGCTTTGCGGTATATACCGTATAAACCGGACTATAGATCGAGTGGGAATATAGGTCGACCCCCCCAAATTCAGGTTACCGAAAAAGAAAAAAAAAGGAAAAAAACCCGAAACTGCCGAACCACACTTATTTGCAAAGTGGGCGCTCCGCACCACGACCGCCGGAGCTCCCCTCAACCACCATTTCAACTGCTCCTATTCGTCCGATGAAGCACCACTGTCTTCTGAAGACGAGAGTTCGTCACTGGCAGCCTCCCACAGTGCGTCGTCTTCAATGCCATCCAGCGAGTTGCTGATGCAACATTTCTTGAAAGCATTTTTCTCCATGGAATCTGGTAAGGAACTCCAAGCGGGATGCACCCACCCACAAACAGTCGCAAGCGGAGGCCTCTGTAGGCAGCCCGTCAGTGTCTTTGGGTTGTCGCTGGACATCCACTTTTGGTACTCCAGCCGCACTCGGTCCTTGAACGGCTTGTTTAGCACAATGTCGAGCGGGTGGAGGGTAGATGTCATACCACCTGGTATCACGGCAAGGTATATTTTCCCGTCGCCGAGTGCACAATTCACAGCCTGTTTCACAGCGCGTTTCACTCTTATCCATTCGAGCATCATGGCTTCGTCCATGTGTCCCTTTTTTTTTTTTTTGACGCCAACGACAACACCGGGCGGGAACACTTCCTTCGGCATTGTCTTGCGTTTGAAAATGAAGGGCGGAAGCTTTCTATCATCTGCCGTGCATGCCAGCATGACGGTGAAGCGCGAGTGCTCGTTGCCAGTGGACAACAGCTTCACATTTTTGGCGCCATGCTGCGTGATCGTCGTTGACGAAGGCATGTCAAACTACACGAGGGTCTCATCGGCGTTGCCAATCTGCCCCATCATGTAGTCGTTCTGCTCCCGAAGTTGGTTCACATGTGCTGAAAATTTATAAGCTTGTCCTCAAACTCCTCCGGTAACCTCTAACAGATGGATGTGTGCTGCTGGAGAGAAAATACTTTGCGTTTCATAAATCGATGCACCCAAGAGTTTAATGCACAAAGTTCTTCTCTCGTGAGCACAGCTTCTCGAGCGAGTTCCACGGCTTTCTTGCGAATGGTATACACAGTCACTGGCAGCGAGCGCGCACAAACTTCCCGCACAAAGTCCGCTAGCTTATCCTCCAGCTGCGGATAAACGGCACTTCGCCCATGAAACGACATTTTTCGAGGATCGCACATCTGCAGTTTCCCTTTCTGCGCCCTCCAATAGCCCACGCCTTTTTCCGATACACCAAAGCGGCGCTTAGCAGCCATATTCTCCATTCGCTTCTGCGAACTCAACAACATCTACCGTAATTACTCGAATCTAACGCGCACCTTTTTTCCGGTTAAGGCAGTTCATAAATCGCATGCGCGTTATAACCGAGTACGAACAAAGAATTACGGTCAATCTATTGCCATCGGCAAATCCAAAATGGCCGCCCCTACGTGCGTCGGCATAGCACGTCGGCAATTTCTGCCTATGTGTTTCCCATGTGCGGCACTTCGTACGTGTGCTGAGGAGTTTGTCATCTAGTAGTGCATTAGCATCGACGGCGTGGAATGGCCGACTCCAAAAACTCGAGTGCACCACGATGCCGCTTTTAAAAGAAAAGTCATCGCGTGTGCAGAAACGGACGGAAATCGGGCCGCATCGCGGTCGTTCGGAGTTCCCGAAACGTGCGTGCGGGACCGGCGGAAACAAAAGCAGAAGATTTTCGACAGCAAAGCTTTACGCAGACTTCAGTGGACCACAGCAGGGTCGGTTTCCGCAAATTAAAGAGCTGCTCGGCGAGTATGTGCTTTAGCAGCGAGCAGCACAGCGGCCCGTGACGGCAGAACTGCTCCAAGTGCGGGCTATGCAATTAGTCTTAGAAAAATGTCTAATGCGGAGCCAGTTTAAAGCGAGCAGGTGCTGGCTAACTAGCTTTATGAAGAGGAAAGGCTTTTCCCTCCGAAGGGGAACATGCATATGCGAAAAGTTTTGCGGAGGAGTATGATGAAAAGCTTCACAGTTTTCAGAGGTTCGTCCTAAACTTGCGGCGCAACGACTACCTGCTTGGGCAAATCGGGAATGCCGATCAGACGCCTCTTTACTTCGACATGCCTGGCACCACAACCGTCGAGAAGAAGGGGGCGAAGCAAGTTCGCGTGCTGACATCGGTCCACGGTAAAACTACAGTGACGGCAATGCTCTGTTACACGTCAGATGGGCACAAGCTTCGCCTGTACCTCATATTTAAATGGAAGACGCTCCCGAAAGGAGTAGTTTTTTCGAGTGGTGTGATCATGCGGGCCAGCGAGAAAAAATGGGCGCGCGTTGCAATCGATGTCTTACGTTTTTTTTTTTTTTCGCGATGGAAATCGGGTGCGCGTTACAATCGAGGGCGCGGTAGAATCGAGTAAATACGGTAGTTTAAGCGCAGCTGAGTACTGCCTCCTCGTACCGCTACTCATATTCAGTGAACGAAAAAAAAAGACTACTAAAAATGCAGCGCAATGTCAAGCGGAGCGAAAACTCAGAACAGATCGGAAGCAAACCAAGAACACAAAGAAAACAGACAGAGAGAGAGAAAAAAAAAAAACAGCCTGCGATTGGATTTGGATGTGGATATGGCCGCGTCCTGCTTTTCACGCACATGCAAGCCACATGTTGCAAGACAGCAGTGCACTTTCTGCTAGACACCACTATATAAGACGAGGGGCAGTTTATATGGCAATACAGGCATCAGTGCCTGTTGAGCGTTCTTGCAAATGTGTCCATGTGCTTCGAGTTGTTGATAAATTCGCCCCCGCTTTGTCAACCGCTAGCTTCCTGGTTACCGTAATTACTCGAATCTAACGCGCACCTTTTTTCTGGTTAAGCGAGTTCATAAATCGCATGCGCGTTAGAATCGACAACGCCTCCTATGCTTTGAGATGCCTGGCACGTCGGCCGCTATCCTATTGTTCACCCGCGGCCACCGTGTTTTACCGGACTGCCGCGAGCCGGCGCCAGCTTCTGACACTACGCTCCGCCACAGAAAGTCACTACGCTAGTCGCTCTGTGGAGCTTTGCAGCGCTCATATTTGTGAAAATTTTGTCCTTCAAGGTTTATAGGGCTTAGCAGAGTGAAAATAAAGTCAAGAACGAAAATAAGAAGTAAATCAAGTGGAACTACAATAGCACAATATTTATTCACTGCAGCAAAAGGCCAGCCTAAGCATTCTCTGCCAAGAGCTGGGGTGTGCTTCTCTGCCAAGAAAACTTCTCGCAGCACTTGTTGCGCCCTTTTGGCGTTGGCACAGACAGCTGCTGTGCTGCCCCTCACTTCACTTCCACTAACAGCCCGGGAAGAGCAGAAGGAAGTAGAGCTGTTGATGTTGCTTCTGTCGGATGATGCGACTATTCCTGTCTTCAAAATTTTTTCTAGTCCAGAATCAGCACTTCTCACATCCATGACGTCATTGCAACCGGCAGTCCTTCTTAGAAATCCAAACAATGATTTTATTGGATCGCTTGAGAATTTCCTTCTGAGTACAAACGTGAAGTCGCACTCATTCAGCAGAAACTGTATGCATTGCACGTTGGAAACTGTGGTGAAAACTAGGGCATGGTAGGTTTCCTTGGTGAGAAAATTTTCGGGTGAGCTAGCTTCCTTTAGCATTTCGATGTACTCGAGAAAGACGAGCTCCAGCCAGTGAAGTCTGGGATCTTCTGCGTCTGAAAACTGCCTAGTGTCAGGGTTGTTCTGGTGGATATGCTGCTCACAGTTGCTCACATCCATTAGAACAAACCACCTGTACACGTTCGTCATAAACTCCACTGTAGGTGCAACATTTGCAAACATTCGCGTTTCCTTTTTGCAATGGTTCTCTCACCTCGCGGCTTCGACGGTGCTGGCCTGAGGTAAGAAGGGTATTGTGGGAAAACACTGGGCACAGTACCTGGCTTCAGCACGCGTCTCTTGGTGTCTTTGCGAAAGTCCGCATCGAGAAAATGAAGGCTGCAGACAGATGAGTAGTTGGATGTGGAATTTGGCTGCCAGTCCTTTCTTGATATAACTTTCAGCCATTGTTCCCGGAGGTTTGCATCTGCAGGTATCTCGTGGAACGAAACGCCAGGCTGCTGCTTGCGCTGGCTCGAGGTGCAAAAAGGCACGCAGCAGTACCGCATGGCTGGGCTTCAGCTGCGGTTATTAGATCGAGCTCCGAAGAGGCAATACGCGCGATAAAACGTAGCACGTGGCACCCTGAGAAAAAAATGACCAACAGCATTAGCGCTCACTCCGAACGGGCTACCGCAAAGACTTCGCGGGCGCTCGCCTGACGGCAAGGCGCACGATAGTGTCAGAACACAGCGGCGCGGCGGTGGCGTGCATAAACGGGAGAGGGTCGCGCCGACGCGCCAGGCATCTCAAAGTACAGGAAACGTTGGAATCGAGTACGAACAAAAAAATTACGGTCAATATATTGCCATCGGCAAATCCAAAATGGCCGCCCCCTACGTGCGTCGGCATGGCGCATCGCCATTTCTGCCTATGTGTTTCCCATGTGCGGCACTTCATACGTGTTCTGAGGAGTTCGTCATCTAGTAGTGCATTAGCATCGATGGCGTGGAAGGGCCGACTCCAAAAACTTGAGTCAACGCCTCCTGTACTTTATAGGAGTATAGGAGGCGTTGCTCGAGTGCACCACGATGCCGCTTTTAAAAGAAAAGTCATCACGTGTGCAGAAACGGACGGAAATCGGGCCGCATGGCGGTCGTTCGGAGTTTCCGAAACGTGCGTGCGGGACTGGCGGAAACAAAAGCAGAAGATTGTCGACAGCAAAGCGTCACACAAAGGCTTCAGTGGACCACAGCAAGGTCGGTTTCCGCAAATAAAGAGCTGCTCGGCGAGTATGTGCTTGAGCAGCGAGCGGCACAGCGGTCCGTGACGACAGAACTGCTCCAAGTGCGGGCTATGCAATTAGTCTTAGAAAAAGGTCTAATGCGGAGCCAGTTTAAAGCGAGCAGGTGCTTGCTAACTAACTTTATGAAGAGGAAAGGCTTTTCCCTCCGAAGGGGAACATGCATATGCGAAAAGTTTTGCGGAGGAGTACGATGAAAAGCTTCACAGTTTTCAGAGGTTCGTCCTAAACTTGCGGCGCAACAACAGCTACCTGCTTGGGCAAACCGGGAATGCCGATCAGACGCCTCTTTACTTCGACATGCCTGGCACCACAACCGTCGAGAAGAAGAGGGTGAAGCAAGTTCGCGTGCTGACATCGGTCCACGGCAAAACTACAGTGACGGCAATGCTCTGTTACACGTGAGATGGGCACAAGCTTCGCCCGTACCTCATATTTAAATGGAAGACGCTCCCGAAAGGAGTCGTTTTTTCGAGTGGTGTGATCGTGCGGGCCAGCGAAAAAAATGGGTGCGCGTTGCAATCGATGTCTTACGTTTTTTTTTTTTTTTCGCGGTGGAAATCGGGTGCGCGTTACAATCGAGGGCGCGGTAGAATCGAGTAATTACGGTAGCTCAATCGGCAGAGCAAACGTCTCAGAAAGGTGTTGGTCCAGAGTTGAAGCTCCAGGATCAAGACGAATTTTCCGCATCTAAGAGACTTTTCTTTCTGAGAAATCCGTACGGATTTCCTGGTGGCTTCGTGCTACCAATGGGTGGTTGCCTTCTTTCACTTCCTAATGAGTAGAGACGATATTATAGGCAAATATCCATTTTGTGTCTTTTGACTCTATCACGCCACTTTGATATACAGTCAAACCTCAATATATCGAACACGGATATATCGAATTATTGCCTATATCGAACGGTTCCTATATCACGCGGGAAATCGCATGCATTATTGATTTTTTATTTCGAACAAAGTTTGACATATAATGGATATATCGAACTCAGCCACCCCAAACCGCCCGCGCTCCATTGACAGGCGGCGAGCTTTCCCACAACTCTCGAAAGTAGCGGTGGAGCGGCGGGCGTTTACGAATGCTGCACACATCAATGGCGCCGAGAGCGCCACTTTAACGTAGTGGCGTACGCGCGCCGCAGCCTTGCGGTAGAGGTTCTTAAATGAGGAAAGTGAAGAGAAAAGTGCAGAGCTGATATTTTCTTTCAATACGAAGGCATCGACACGGCTTCGCGCGGGAGAAGGGGGAGTGGGAGGTAAAGATTGAGGAGGAAAGTATAGGAGGGAAAGGACGCAGACTGTCTCGGACGCGGCCCGCGCTGCCGCCGGGAAAGGGAAAGCAGTCAGGCGAGCCGGCATGGGCGCGCCATATGCGCGCTTTACACCCGGATTCACGCCGCAGCCTTGCAGCTTGCAGTCGTTGCAGTCTCTATGGTGTCAACGGCACACTGCGCAATTGTTGCAAGCTTCTCCCCCGTAGCATCGGCAGGCATCGGTCGTTGTGCTCACAGTGTTCGTGCGTTTTAGGCCTGTCGCGCATTGTTCGGAGTTGGGCCTGTCGCGCGCTGTGGTGCGCGACAGGCCTAACTTTGAACGGCGGAGCTCAGGGCGGAGCTCACGGATGTGGAGATTGTCGCCAAAGCTACTGCTGAGCAGCCAAATGAAGACTCTGCCGAGGTGGATCCCGCAAGCGCTGATGGTCCCCGCTCCCGACATCAGCTGAGGTCGTAGCTGCCTTGGCCCTTGTGCGCTGCCACTGCGGCGCGATTGAAGGCACCGGCCTATCACTTATGGATCGCCTGGACTATATTGAGGACGCAGTCGTCAAACACTCTATGGCCAACAAAAAGCAGGCTACTCTTTTTCAATATTTTAAACCAACACAATAAATACTATGTTTGAATCTTCAAGTGAGTATTTACTGCACCACGCTTGAACGGTTCGTTGGTCGTTTTCAGCAAGCTGTTGATGCATTTTTTTCGTGATTTTTTTACATCGAATTCTGGATATATCGAACTATTTTGCAATCGCCGCGCGGTTCGATATATCGAGATTCGATTGTATGAGCATGAATTAGAGGCTCAGAAGGGCTTTTATAGTGTTTTGTAAAGCCTATAAATGCATATTTCGGACATTTGTGCCTAAATTCCTATAAGTTCCTATATTCATGATCGGTGCCCCTATCAACACTATTTACCTTTCAATTTCACTTTTGAGTACATTTAGAGATCGGTTTTTCTGTTACTGGACAAAATTGAGCTTTCAGAACTCTATGAGGTGCAACAACCTATATTCCGTCTCAGAAGTCTCTTTGAGCTCTGTCCAGGTTACAAGGCCCCTTAACCAATAGGAAACCCATTAGCCTCGACACTTTTATTCATCTCTGTCGCGTTGTCTGCTGGCCATCTTCCCGGTGTCTATTCACACGCGCCGTCATCTTGTGGCTTCTGTGCAGCCGCAAGATGATGGAGAACGAATGTGAAACTGTGGAGTATCATCAGGAGAAGAAGAGGGTAGGAAAAAAAAAAGATAGATTTCCTTGTAGTTTTTGTTTTGTTTGTCATTTACTTCTTAGTGGGCACTTCGTCAGGTCTCATGAGAAATTTCAATTAGACACCGGAAGTTGTTGCATGTCCAATGAAAAGTTTGTACCACAAGAATTTTTTATTTTATTCATTGCGAGCCACGAAAGCTTGATGCGAGGAGTTAAACTTGAAGCCTTTGCCACTCCCCCTATGTATACTTCGCGAGCCAAATTTTTTCTTTGCCCTCTTCGGTATCAGAGCAACTCAGAGCTGGAGGATCAAATTACACAGACGCATCAAGACGCCATGTGCACCTAAGGTTACCTACATTCTCATGATGTGCCCAAGCCAAGTGAGGCGCGCAAGTGGTGTTGGGTCGTTTCGGCGTGCTCTGTATTCTACTGCCTCTTTTTGTAGGATGGATCCCTCTAGGCGCACGCGTTTAGAGAGGCTGGCATGGATCATGTATCGTTACTACAATGTACAGCATCGCACTGCTGGAACAGCTCTAAGGGTGGATGAACTGAATACTGGCTAAGTGTTCTCAGGGCTAGCACCGGTACGCAGGGAGAACGGTGAGAACACCAACACAAATGAAATGGAGGCAGCTTAGTCTCGCTTGGTTTGAAGTTGAAAAAAGTAATGCGCACAAATTCCGTTTGTGTGTTTTATATTTATATCAACCTTCATACTTCTATTCAAGAAATAATTTACACTAATTACACACGTCACCTCAAATAATTCTCGCAGTGTAAAGTACTAGACAGACAGACGTACGCAGGACCATTCCTTGTTGTATACATCACCTCCACCATGTTGGGGCGCGCGCCTGTGAGATAGAGGGCAAGCGGCATTCAGTCTGACATTTCACTGCTTTCTGAGGCACATAGCGTTGCAAACCATGGCAGACGAGATCTTGAGTGCCCAGTGCATGGACTTCTATTGCCTGCTCTGAATGCTCAAACCTGTTGATGGGCCATTTTAAGGTGTTCTGAGGCAAAGCAGAAATTGACCCTGTGGTGTTAGCTCCTGTTAATACGAGGCTAAAAAAACCCTTCTAGCCTATTAACAGTCTGGCTATTTGCTCCTGTGCTGCCATCGTCAGCCATTCTGGAAAAAAAAAAAAAAAAGACCCAAGAGCGTGTTCATTCGACTGTGGACTCTGGACTTTTTATGCTGGACAATAAAGGAGAGACCCTGCTCTGCAAAATCTGTGGGAAAAAAATCGCATGGCTATACTAAACCATCGGCGATTGTGTACCATCATGAACTAAATTATTTCTTTTTGCTTTCCTGTCATAGGCACAGGTCACACACTCATTTCTTTGAAAATATGAACTCTTGTGAAGATTTGTTGTGCCTATTTCTTTGGATGCCTAAAACTGTCTTTTACCTGTCTGTTTTCGGCGCTTGAAACCCGATATTTAGTGCCTATGAATTCGGCTTTTATTAATGAGCATTCCTACAGCTGTAACCATAGTGGGGACCTTCAGGCAGAATTTGCTTGCAAACTTCATTATGTCTGTATTTTTTTTTAGCAAAGGTAGGTTTTTTCTTAGCAAAGGTAACAAAAGCAATGCTGTTTAGTTGCTGTGAAGCCTCCATGAATTTGTATATAAAGAATAAGGACAGTGACAGAGAATCACTGAAATAAGCTGGAACAAGGCATGTACAGTACTCAAACACAACCTTTGGGTTGGGCTTGAACTGGTGAGCACTCTGATAATTCGTTGAATTCGTGACTTGCTAAACCCTGCCCCCTTCCCTCTAAAAATTCTCACTCCCCACAACGTGCCACACTGCCTCCAGGATTGGCCCATCTTTCACCGAGTGACATGATTCATGCGATTGCCTCGTCGTATGCCATGAGGGTGTTACAAATTTAGGTGATCTATGATATTGTGATGACATTAGTACGTCTTCTCGTACCATTCGTGTTGACGACCCCAACAGTTGCTCTTCTCATTTGATGAGGCATAGAGGGCTTTTTTCCATGAAAAAGCGTGTTTCTTTTTTTCTGCAGCACTGCATGACTTCATCTCGGAAGATTTGGACTCTTTTCTTGCCGACCACAGTCCACGGCTATGCATCGTCTGTTCCTCCTCCAGTGCCAGTTCCACAAACGGCATGGACGATGACGACGTCTCCTTCTTCGCTAAAGTGCAACAGGTTATTCTGGGCTCCGTTTTTTGTTTTGCCCATTGTTCATTTGTCAGTGAATTACACCAAGTGACTCTAGTCATAGATGACCTTCATTGGGGGTTGAATGTCAAACATTACCAAAATGTTGCACATAGCTCTCTGAATGTCTAATCATGGGATAGTGATCTAGAAATGCCGTAAAACATTTTTATCTAAATTTTTCTGTCAGTAGACTATGTACAGCAATCTGAATGATTCGTTCAAGCAGTACCAAAGCTCTGCCCCGCCGCGGTGGTCTAGTGGCTAAGGTACTCGGCTGCTGACCCGCAGGGCGCGGGTTCGAATCCCGGCTGCGGCGGCTGCATTTCCGATGGAGGCGGAAATGTTGTAGGCCCGTGTACTCAGATTTGGGTGCACGTTAAAGAACCCCAGGTGGTCTAAATTTCCGGAGCCCTCCACTACGGCGTCTCTCATAATCATATAGTGGTTTTGGGACGTTAAAACCCCACATATCAATCAATCAGTACCAAAGCTCTTCCATCAAGAAAAATGACATACCAGTGTAAAATGCTGTCTAAAATAAGAGTCCTATTCAAATCACAGAAATACATAATCTTCAATTCTTCCGTCGTAATTCAAAATATTCACATTCCCACTTAAATCTAATGATGCATTCTGGCCATTTGTTGGTCCTTGTGGCACTGATATGTGTGAGCAGGGAATATTCGTTGACTAAGTGAGACCTAAGATGATTGTATCACAAACATAGTACATGCAGGGTGGTGCATTAGGAATGATTTTCTAATGGTGTTTGTTGGAACAGTTCTTTGTTTTTTGTTCGTTGCTACAGTACAGTGGCTATGGCATTATACCACTTCTGAGCATGTGGTCACTGTTCCAAGGCCTGGCTAGAGCAGTCACATTCTGATGGGGTCGGAACCGAGAAATGCTTGTGCTTGTGTAGTTCTTGAGGTACACTAAAAAAAAACAAAAAAACCTGTTGTGTGTTAGGGCACCAAGGCCCCACATTTTAACTCATAAATAATTCATGTGGTGCACATACTGCAGTGATCCAAACCAGACAAGCTTAGGGCAAAGGTGGAGGCTTCAAGTGTCAAACATAAAATTTCACTAAAGCCTGTTCTACAATTTCTCATTGGAAACTACCTTCAGATCTTGTTCGAACCTGAACAACCTGAAAAGTAGAGAACAATAGGCGTCACTTATTTTTCATTCAATGAAAAATATGCATGGGAGAACAGCAATCAAATACGAAAGCAACCACTTTGGAGAAGTCATTTTAATGAAGCATCCGTTCTGTTTAAGCTTTTTTTTTTCCAATATTCTACTGTATCCCTCGCATTTGTTTTCTTCTTATCCAAGTCTGTTTGCCGTGCAGTATACTTATAAACAAAAAGACAGTCTTTGGAGGTATTGTGCACTGAAATGTCTAGTATTTTCTTTTTGCTTTCTGGTCTTAGGTCACCACTGTGTTCAAGAGCAGAGCCAGCGACATGAAGGGCAAGCTGGTGGAATACATTACGAATCCACAGCAACCGCCTGTTGAAAGGTGTGTACTGTGAAGCTTAATTTTTTTATTCTTGGCATAAAAAAAGAAAGCAACAACTAACTAGCTAAAAGGGGACAGGGGCTTCATGCCAGTGTGCTCGCATGTGATTGGAAGCAAGTAAACCTATGAAGCTTTGCAAAAAATGATAATGATAATAATAATCCACAATGCTTGAGCCTGCACCATGAAACTGAAACCTGCACTCTAGATTTAACATTGGAAGCATCAAAGTTAACTAATCCATTTCGCCTTGTTGACAAAAGTTGCCAAAATGCAGTTTTTTTTCCATGGGGGGGGGGGGGGAATCATGGGTGACACGCTAGTAGTGACAGGCTAGTCGAAGCTAGTTTAATAAAATGAGATTACATTTGTTTTAACTGTACTGCACTAGGAGGGACAAGAGCATGTTTCTTCAAACACTTGCTCTCTGTGTCTTCTGACATTTCCATAAACAATTTCAAGTAACAATGCTCCAACTGGCCCAACATAGTTGTTAAGTTCCAATGCTTTCGTTCCTTGAACAGGCACGTGAGCAGCTCAGACAAATTGGGCAAGCGGTACCGCGGCATGGCACCGGTCTTCAGCATTGATGACGAACACGATGGTGGGTTGACTCTTGATTCTTGAAGCACTGGTACCTAAAGGTTTGCGGACTCGCTCATGAAATATTTTCGCTTAGGGATCCGTTGTACTCGCAGGTCAGTCTGAATGTGAGTGAGCCAATTCGAGAGTTAGTTTGTTAACCTGTATTAGTAGGAACATTTGAAATGGAGCATGTTGGTATCGACTTACGATACGAAGGGACTCATTTTTTCATAGGTCTGTTCATTATTTATTACCGTAAAAGGTTCACAATAGGTTTCAGTACGCGCTAGTGTCCTCCACTGTTACACGTGTCATAAGATCCAGGTCTTTTACAGCACTACTCTCCATTACACATTTTTTTTGTGATTTCCGTATTGTGGATAAATTGGAACCTGTGGAATAACTGATCATTGTCATCCCATGATTGATGGTATCTTCGATATATATGAAGGCAAATCTTCACTGGCCAAGTGTCGGCTTTTGTCTGAATGGAGCTATAGCTGTAATGATCATGCATGTTATAAGCATGTGTGTGTTTGATACTGTTCAGACAAGAATCTCTCTGATATAAAGCAATGCTGACATGATGTTAATGAATACGTAGACAAATGTTTTTTTGTTGTTGTTTACCTGAGGTGCAAATCAATGTTATTCTTGTTTTCTAAGAACATGTTGTCATTCTGCTAGGTATTGATTACATTTGTTACACCTGTGACCTCATGCACCAAGTTACATATTATCTTTGTACTGATGACAGTGGGGCACATTTTTTTTTAGAAACATGATGTAAAATATAAGCTTATCGTGCGAGTTTTATTTCAGATTTTGGTGGTCACGGTGACCTAGATGCGTCAGTGCAAGAAGAGGAGAGCATTAGCACATGGGTGAAAAAGCCGGAGGTTCTGGGGCACTTCAAGTGTGAAGAAATCAAAGAGAATGGACATCTCTACCCCAGGTTTGTTGTTAGATTTTAACCTTGATTTTCAGCCCTGCCACTGTGGTGTAGTGGCTAAGGTACACGGCCACTAAGCAGGTCGCGAGATCGAATTCCAGCTGCCGCGGCTGCATTTTCAATGGAGGCGAAAATGCTGTAGGCCCCTGTGCTCATATTTAGGCACATGTTAAGGAACCGCAGGTGGTCGAAATCTTTGGAGCCCTCCACTACGGCATCTCTCATAATCATAAGGTTGTTTTGGAATGTTACACTTCCCATATCAATAAATCAACCTTGATTTCACACTTGCTAACTACGCAAAAAGACGCTCTGTAAACATATACTCAGCAGGACAGCTCTTGCACTTTTGGCTGTGTCTTGCTTAATAAAATTCACTACTTAAAGAAATTCGACTCACAGGTGCAAGTACAAGTGGTGTAGGAGCCTGTGCTTTTTTTTTTTTTTCGTGCATAACTGGTACCTCTATTTAATTTGAGCACCCCTGAAATGTCCCCTTGTTTATTCAGAAAATGAACTTGCATATTTCGCACTCCCTGTCCTGCTTTGCAACAGCCGCAGACTTGCATGCGTGCTGTGGTTGCTGCTTTGAAAGATCGGTGTAGCCACAGTGTCGCACACATACTTAAAGCCTCAAACAAAAGAAAAATTCTAGTCAAAATTGTTCCTGAAGAATTCTGCAATACCTCGATAACTATGTACCCATTTGGAATGCACTATATCTGAATGGTAGTAGGCACTAAATGGTAAGTATTGCAAGGCTTTTCTTTTCCTTTTTTTTGTACCCGCTGGAAAGAAACAAATGGCTGACAGTGAGTGGTGTTGATACCAAGGAGCCTTTCCCAAGTATGGCAGAATATTCAGCAGCTGATGTGATGGCAAAGTAGATCACTCATATATAGCGGTTCCAAACAAGCTTGTGTGCACTTGCACAATGGCCAGCCGCTAAATGGAAACAATTGTCCCTGTGGCGACATATTTGACAACACAGACTGTGCTTGGGGAAGTCTATTGCACATGTTTCAATACTGTCTGAGTTGCGTATGTTGGTGAGCTCCTCCTGTTTTACCTCATTTAGCATGTCATGACTACATTTAGTTAGAGATCATTCTTAAAGTTACTGACATGAGACTACACTCAAACCTAGTTATAACAAAGTTGCATTATACATGGAAGTAATGGCATCTTCGGCTGGTGGCACCGGTGGCGTTTTCTGTGCACTCATCCAGTGCCATGCGTTCATGTGGGCACCACACGTGCGGTGCCGCATGTTCGGCTGGGCCGGCCACGACACGAGTGCACGCCACCACGGCACCGCGGAGGTCGACGGTGGAGTGTGGTGCGATCCCATCAGCCCGTGTGTGCTGAAAGACAATGCGATGACGTTCCATCATTTCAGGCGTATTATTTTGTAGCCGGTGCTGCCGCACAATACGGTTGGACGAGACGGAAAAACGTGCGCGAGCTTACATCATTCGACCATACTCGCAGAAGGCTACTTTGCTGCCAGGATTTCACTGGACACACCGAAAGGGATGCTAAAATTACCGTAACCCTCATCGAGTTGGTACAAAACTAATGCAGCACAATCACCTGGAGAACAGATGCGCACCCACTAGACACGTAGCGTCTCGCACGTGTCTCTCAATGTATGGTCTTCCGTCGTTTGCTCTATTATTTTCAGTACAAAAAGGACACTGTAAATTGTCATCTGCTGAATGGCGTTTCTCGCAGATGGTGCCGCTGTAGTGAATTCGAGTCTTGCGGTTCACACGTTCGCCTGGCCCACAGCAGGGTATGAAATTCGGGCGATGTCTGGTGCAACTTCCCTTCCACCGTCACAGTGCCAGTGCACCTCAGCCGAAGATGCCATAAGTTCGTTGTATCCAGAAATTTATTATGGAGGTTTATTCCTAACTCTACATCTATTGCATGACTATCTTTAATTACCTAATTATAACCTATATTTTATTACATCCAGGTTCGTTACATCAAGATCTGAGTGTGTAATGCTTAGCTTAAAAAAAAAGCGTGCTCCTTTCTTCTCCGTGTGCAGTCACTTGCTTGTGACTCATACTCACCTGTACCTGCTGCGTGAGCTGAGCCACAAGAAGGGAACTGCCCGGGTGGTGTCGCAGAGACCCCTCCTCTCGGTGCTCAAGATCACCAGCAAGAAGCAACACCCGGAGCTGATCACCTTCAAGTATGGCCTGAATGACAATGCCACGGGCACCTTCACGGTCGTCGCGATGGAGCGCCTACTCATCCCTAAGGCCAAGGAGGCCACACAGCTCGTCAAGACCCAGATCACCAAGCTGCTCGAGGAGACCGATGCCAGGTAAGCAAAAACACCAGCCGAGCACAGTAGTAGTGAGAGCTGGCCTATTTAGAACCTGGTGTAAACTCTCTTGGGGCAACTGCTACAGCTACAGTTGCAAAAGACCCATTACACCATAAATCATCACAATTTTGCAAAGTAACAAAGTACTCACTATGCGTGTGTATGGCATTAGTATGTATGTGCACTTTGTTGATGCTGTGGCTGATTATGACGAAGTACAGCTGGAAACTAGGCTTATGCGAATATTCAATTTCAGTTTCAAAGTAAATAGTGATTTTTGTCGAATAATCTTGAGCCAAATTCGAATTATATATGTCATGTATTATTACATGAGAGGAGAGATGCCGGATCAACGAATATTATAAAGCAGAATGGACATATCTGTCATAACCTAACTAACCTGCACAATAATTTTTATAATTTGAAATAAGCCACTGCAATGCCATTTTTCTCGTCTGGAAAATGCGTGAAAACAACTTCGAATAGTAAAAGTATGTGACTTTCGGTAGAATGCGAGTGATAACCTGTAAAATATGTTATGGATTGAAAAATGTACTGCACTTGGAGCGTATAGGTTGTCATAAAAAGCTTTTGAACTTTAAAAATGATGAATTGGTGTAAGGGTATAAGGCTTATATCACCCTAAACTGGGTCTTCGTGGCAGTGCAGAATCCTCTAGATAGATGTTATACAGCATGGTACTTCTTCACTGCAGTGAAACTACTTTTACATGAAATTGCATGTGGACTATCTTATACACCTGGATAAGTGCTCTCACTTCTTAGTGCTTCTGGAATGCAGTGAAACCACCTTTATAGGGGGGCTACCTGCAGATTAATATGCATATTTTCGTTCATTTCGTATACTTAAAAATTTTTGGTTATATAAATTCTAATGGAAGCAAATTCAAATACTGTAATATTCATTTGAATATTCACATAAACTACCTGAAAACATTGTGTAATGGGTGGGAAGCTTTAAACCACACACTCGTTATGCATGTTTGCATTGTGTGATGCTTGGTTGCTCTTGTGCTATACCACCTAGTTATGTTAAATTTGTTTACCTGATATCTTGCCCAGCATGGCACTTGTGTAGAGTCCTCTTGTGAACAAGTTCCAAGCATCACCGTGGCTTGTGGGAAAACACTCGACTCCCACACAGGGGTGCCTCCTCTTTCAAGTCTTGCTCTACCCTTGATTATTTTTTTTTTTCCTTATTGCTCATGATAGTGGCTACAGACACCAGTGGTGCTGGAAGTGGCAGCTGTGGACAACTACGCCGCCACACAACAAATTCCTTTTAAACAAAAAAAAAAGAAACAGAGCAGTTAGTTTTTGCTGAGACAACTTGAAATGTCCAAGCGTAGTGCTGAATTTGGGTAGCGATACACAGCCAACCTGCATAACATCGACATGATTAACTGCAAGAGGCACAGACAACAACACGGGAATCTCCTAGCTGTGTGCTATTCATTCTATCAGTTTATTCATCTCTGGAATAACGGTTGCAGTATTATGCTTATGTTGGTTGAGGTAATTTTTTTCTAATCCTGAAGGAAAGATTACCTGGGCAATTTAGTTTATTGTATATTTTTATTCTTAGCTTTTGTATAACTTATTAAATTGATCTTGCATGCAGTCATGGGCTCTTAACAGGAACACCAAAGTACTCATAAGCAAGAATCAATCTTAAAATTTCTTCTATCTAAGGGCCAAGGAAATGCTACTTTTTTACTTCATCTCTTGGTGTTATTTTTCTCGCGCAGCTCTCCCGCTTTCCTAGAATTTGGCTTCCCTGGCAGCTCTGTGTGATGTGTTCTCTGTTGCTACAGCACTGGAGACTCTGCAGGAAAAAAAAGAAACTCGCTGCGTCACTGTGAGATGCTACGGTTACAGTGGAACCCATTGATAACAAAAGTGCAACAGCAGCACCATTTGTGCCACTGTCAACGAAACTTATTTACGTGTGCCACCCTGTGTTGAACTACCCCTGTTGCACCAAACTTTTCTTACCAGTACACTTTAGAATTCTCTTCTTCCCTTTTGTCTGCAATGCTCATGAAACTTGCTACATGTAGGTTCTGTTCACTTTTGCAAACAAAATAGAAGAACAATGTGTTGCTTTCCTTTCATACTAATTTTGCCTTCATCTAGTCTCCTTTTCATTTTTATATCTATTATTTCATTGCAACGCCTATCACGGTGAGAACCTGGATGGACCTGGAAAATATGTTCTATTTATCAGGGGTTCTGTTTACTGAAAGATGAACAAGGTTGCTGAATCCACGTATTAAAGCAATCATATTATAGCTAGTTGTCGTCCCATTTAAGTAGCGGTTCTGTTGAAGAGATTACCGTATACCGCGAGTCTACCGTATATCTGGGCACTCCGGGTAAATATTCGTTGTGACTGTCATTAGTCTTCTGAAATGGGATGTGTTCATGTTCCTAAAACAAAAATATTGCTCATCGTTGGTGCACTATGTACGTCAGAATTTGATGCTCTCTGGCTATCACTGGCCCTTGCTTCATTAAGCATCACATGCATAAATCTCCTTATTTGAAGTTCTAGTATCTCCAATGCATTCATTTTTGTTTGCAGGTAATGGGAGCTGCAAGGCCATTTGAGGTCAATATGTATGGGATCAAGAGAAAACATTCAAGAGCCAAACGTTTCACCACTGCAAGATCGGGACGGTGCAACGCTGACTGCACTTTTTTTTCTTTTATAACAATGACATGTTGCAGTGACTTCGCCCTTTCTTTTGCTTGATGCTATTACAAGCTTGCATGCATCCTCTAGGGGTGTTTCTTATGCTTAGTCGAAGTTGTGGGCTTTGAACGAGAGCATACTAACTGGTACTTGTAAAGGCTTATTTTTTTGTGCTGGACTCATGCTCGTAGTAGACGAACTGTAGACCGAAATTGTGGCGGAGAGCTTGTCGTGGAACTTGCTTTGTGAATTTCAAACTTGCTTGATTCTGTAAGGAAAGTTCGCATTGGATGTGCTCAAATGGATTTCACTCCTTTGCTACACAACGATCATTAATGTAGAACAAAGCACCTTTGCTTTGTTTGGCAGGGTGCTACAGTAGTCAAGGAAAATCTTTGCAGCATATTTTTAAGCTTTACGAATGTGATCGTCTCACTCACACTGTATAGTTTTCGATGCTGTGAGGCATGTGTTTAATGTCTCCACATCTAGTGATGTTGTATTTAGCAATGATAACATTAGAGTACAAGCTGATGAAATCACAGGTGTAACTAAATGCAAATTTGCAGCACCTTTTATGTGGACTATTCAAATAAGAGTAGTGAAATGTAAAGATTTCATGCTGAATTGTAAGAACTGGGCACCCAGGGGTGGATCACCAGTACTACTGCGGTACTGGAGCAGTATGAATTGTTTCTTATATATTTATTTATTTAAGGCAGTTTACACCGATGTATTGGTCAAAACTTCAGAGCTTAAGACATCTCTGGAACACGACTGGCCATGGGAAGTACTTGGTAGTTGTGCCCCTATTACATACAATAAATTCTTGAACGTGGTTTTTGAAATGCCTAGGCTTCCTTCAGGGGCTTCTTTTCAGTTATGTATAACAAGATTATACTAGTGACAATCGTGAGTGTCATTTTTAGATGTATCTCGTTTTAGATTTCAAGGGACTACTGTATTTCTTATTAAAAGAGCTGAATATTTTGAGGAGAAAACAGTGAAGCATACAGTTAGGTTAAAAAGTTGATAACAGTGTAGGTTTTTTTTTTTTTCTGTGATTGTATCAGCAAAGTTAGGCTTCTGTATCTAGAATTAAAATTCAGGGTATTGTTCGTGCTTTGCCATTTGAAAAAGAGAGGAGAGAGAATGAGACAATAAGCAGGGCAATGTTTAAGAATTTGCACACTGTGTAATGATAAGAATGTTTTCCTTCCTACTCCTCTTTCTTTTTTGCTGCTGCACGATTTCCCGAACGACATTGCCCAAAGGGCAAGGTAGATTGATTGCATTGCATTGGATATATTACCAAGTGAAGCTTCACTGAATTGAAATTTCATCAAACTGGTCTCTGAGGGAGTGTAACAGTCACGATTCTCAACTCTAACATCTAGTGTGTGAACCATTTGTACCTTGTTCACTTGTTTCTCACTGTGGCCAAGCATCAGAGCTGGCAGTGGCATTGTCTTCACCATTGTTTTTTTTTGTTCATGTTTTAAGGGGCCATTTATGGTTTTCATCAACCCTGTGTTTTGGACTGTTTCCCACAAGCTGAAAACCCTTTAACATCATTTTCTTATGCAATATGATTCTGCAACACATGGTCAACAAAGCACAAGTTAGCAGAGAAACTAAGTTTCTTGCGTGTTTATATAATGTTGTTGTTCTAGTTGCCGTAAAATGTACCTGGAGTAATTTTTAAGGAGCCAATTAAAAAAGCAGTGACACGAAATTTCAAATTCAAGATGTGGCGTTCATTCGATTACTCGATATTCCTAAGTTATTTAAGTGAAGTATGAATGGCGTCCGTTACATCGAAGTTATTTTATTTCGAGGGCAAAAAGCGTTCAAGTCTCAACGGCGCATTCCCGGCCATTAGACATTGACAGTACTCTTAAGTGTTCAGCTAGTTTCTAGGCCACATCAGGCACAATGTGATGATGAGCGAGCAGCGATGGCGTCTAAAATGTTAGTGTTGTCATCGCGGTGTCCATATGTGGTACCGTTTGGCGACGACGCCTGGCAACGGCTTCACCTGCTTTGTTTTGCTCGGTTCATACGTGTTCGTGCAAGTCGTACGTTTTCATTGTACCGCTTTGGATGATTCACCCTGTAGTCGTGAGTGCGAATTTAATCATTCGAATCTTCGATCATTGCGAACAAGTAATGCGCACACGGTGTTCATATGTCTGACCAGTCAGCGTGGCCCACGGGTGCGTCTCCAGTTGCCTCGTCCAATGTCGATTTCAGTGTCGATTTCAGAATCGCTGTGCAGAAGAGAATTGATACGAAAATGATTCGCCGTGCCACGAATTGTGGCTATTCTATATTCTTCGCTGTTTTCATCGTCGCTTGTGGACGCTGGTGACAGTGGCGATGATAGCGGAGGGACGAAGACATGCCTATACGTACACGTGTGCGCCGAGCAGACGAAGTGTCAACTGAATTTCTCGTCACCATTTCGTGAGGCCACGTGATCATGTGGGGAGGGACCACGAGAAGGGACCGCTTGGTAGCACGGGCAGCGCTGAACAGTGGCGAGCTTTGCTCCTGTTTTGAATTGGGTTCGATACTGCTCATACTAATTGATAATACACATGTATATCGCTTCATCTCTCTGACCTATTATCAGTACCGAATGGTTACTACAAGCTCGATAACTACGCGTTGACGCGAAAAACGCGACATGCGTAATGTTGATGTCACTGCGCCTTTAATCTTCCTACTGCCTCCATATTTAATCTTTCAACTATATTACTTTATTTTCATACAAATGTCTTTTTGTTTATACCTGCTGCAATTTCGTGCAGAAATCTAACTGAGAATTTGTTTGATGTTAGTCAAATAGAGAAAAGGACCAATGAACACATTCCCAATGTGTGTGCTATTCAAAGGGATATTAAGAAAAATTGTATGTTGAGTTAGATTTGTGTATGAGAAAAATGAAATGCAAAACTTATGTTCGAACATTTAAACAGATTCTTAAGTAGCTAAAAGGGATCAGAAGCAAATGTTAGGCCGTGGAAAGTCATTGAAGTATCTGTCCATGGTGTTGATTTTACTGGTGTAGGCTGGCAACTGGCCAGTTTTTTTATGTGTTGGATGTGGTTAGAGTTACTGTATATGCTCATAGGCTCTCTTTGGAAAACCTGAGTTTGTGTTGTCAATCGGAATAGCAACCATGCAGTACAGAGAAGCCACTGCTGAGGTACCGATAAAAATGATTGGCGATTGCAGCGCCGCCATGTCACTACAGTTAAGCTCCTTATTCAATAACAAGCCCCTGCTTCTGACATAGGTATCAACTTATTCTTTCTTTATAGCAAAGATCACATGATGAGCACCTTCCTTTTTGTCTTTCGAAATAATTTACGGCTGCTGAAGGGCACATTTTTCAACTGATGCCATCACCAAGCCATGGGTAATGAAAAGCCGAATGGTAGATATGTTGGATGTTTCTCTTCGTTAAGAAAAAAATGTGCTATTGTTGTTGCGCAGACCTGGAAGCCTAAAAAAAACAGTTCTAAATTTTTTCTAGTCAAGGGGATAGAACGCAGGAGTAGTATCATTTGACTACGGTAGCATACGTTGCTGTAAGTGTGCCTATTGTTTACATGAGGCACTACTTTTCCTGACAACAATGATTGCTTTTGCATGCAAGGCCCATGCACAACTCTGGATTCTAGCATCAGCCTGTACAGTAACTCAAGTCAGACTAACACTGCATTAGAACGTGCACGGATATTTGAACCAGAAACTTTCCAAAGTACCTTTGTCCTACAAATTCACCAAATAACTTATGTAAACTATGGCAATGAAATTTATAATTGGGATAGACATAAGAGCTCATGCCTTGACAGTAACATTGACAGTAACATTGAACTTGCTCTTAATTTTTGCTGCCTGTTATGAACGATATCTATTAAGTTATTGCGAAAGGTTTTTGAAGGCTTCCTCTATAAACTAGCTCAGTGTTTCTTTTGATGTCCCTTAAACTGCATTATTCATTGTGTTTAACCAAAATGCTGCTGTTATGTACTCTAGGCATGTTTTTTCTCTTTACTTGCTGTTTTGTAGTAACTCAAGTCCTTAGCAAGTGGGCTTACAAAGAAGTGTCTGATGTACATTATTCTGGTGCTTATTATATACGGTATAGCATGCCTAAATATTATACATCGCTGTAGCAAACAGAGCATGCACTAATGGCCTGTTTATAGACCATTCTAGAAGGGCCACAACAGGCAAATACTTGAAGCATAGCTGGAGTGATCGGTGTCCATTCTGAACATCAATTCTTGGCATTCATTTGGCACCTCCAGATTGCTTAGACATTTTGATATTTGTAGTTGTAGATCAAAGACAACCCGAAATAACAAATGGTGACAAGTCTTCCATGGGCACCACAGGATTTCGGACATTAGTTGGCTAGATGTTGTAGCCATATGGAGAGTTAAAGATCTTGTAGTTCTGGCAAGTCATTGAAAAAAATTGGCATTGGTGAAGGTGATAGTAGAAACCCCTAATCATCAAACAGCAAATTCATATGTATATATATATGTCAAATGCAACCATTATAATATTTGTACTACATTAGCTGCAATATTCTAGGTATATATTTGCGTATGTCCTATGTGATTGGGGAATGATTAGTTTCACTTAGATGGCATACATCGTATATTATGCCTGTCATTTTTTTTTTTTTTTAAGAAAGCAGTGTTCTTACTAAGAGGGACACCTTAAAGATATTCTAAGGGGTATGGATCTGTTACTTCAGCTTGGCTTTTAACCTTTGCCATTAGTGTCCTTTTGAGGTGGTGTGCCTATACATAGTGCTTATTTATAATCCTTGGGTGTAAAGGACTCGCCTGTGTTCTTTTATGGCGTATTGAGGAAATGCTGTTTCACACCTTCCGTCCCTTTGACAGCTCTGGGAAATTTCTCGGGGCAGTTTTGGTGAAGCCTGTCTGTGAAGTTGAATGTTGTGTGCCTGTAGGTGTGCAAGATACTTGATATTGACCAATTATTGTATGACGAAATGTTTGACAGATGTTGCTCATGTGATTGTTACTCAAGTAAGAGGCCTCCGTTGTTCCAGACTTTGCTTTCGGTTTTATCATTTTGTTGGCAAGATGTAAATAGTATTTTATATATGTTGTTAGTGTTAGATGGCTATGTGTTCTGCTGTACAATCTATAGCCTTCTTGTACATTCAATAAAATGTCGATGGAAGCTCCTTGTCTTCTACTTATTTGACTCTCTAACAAGCGTCTATTTCTTTAGAAGGTTGTTTCATAGCATTTCTGGGGTACATACTAAGCAAGAACTCCAAAAATCCCTTATGTATTTCGCCTAACGTTGTTTTGTACGTTCTTGGAGATCGAACCACCTTTTGCAAACATGTGATGCAATGTTATGTCATCGTGTGACGTTATGTCACTTGATATCAATGTGACTTCATGATAACGTCACAAATGTATGAAATTGATGACATCATGTGGTGATGTCATCTCGTGAAGATTTCTTGCGTCATTTGTCCTGTACACCGCAGGACGCAAGAAGCCGACAGTCGTGTATTTGATGAAGCATCCAAGACTTTCACTTTAACGTAGTGCCATAATAAAGTTTATATACTAAAGTTTGTATACATCCGGCATGGTACACTAGGGCGTGACGAATGCACAGTAGGGTTTGTTAGGCACCTTACTTCTTCATTAGTGTCGTCATTGATATTTTTCGTTTTCTCACTACCACTCAGGTTTCGGGCTTTGGCTCCAGTTTCTTATGAGACCATTGTTGTTTACCACTCTAAGGAACTGACCTGCTCTTGGTAGACAGATGCTACCTAATGCAGGGATTTCCAGGACCGTAACGTGTTACAAACCTTCATGCATCGTGTCATACGTATATAGTTGGTTGCTGCTGGCAGTATGAAAGGTACATGTATCTTGGATACTATATTAGATATTTTTTTTAGTATGTTGTGTCTGTATCACTCATAAGACGTGTATCTGTATCTCTGTTTCTGAATAATGAAATAATGTGTCCTGTATCTTGAGACTCTAGTTACTGCGATCGCAACGATATCGCGCGAAACAACAGATGTTGGCCGAACTCTGTGCCTCAACTGCATACTGCTGGTACTAAGACCCATGAGTAAAACTAAAAGACAGTGATATTCTTTTACTTTTTCACTGGAGTCCTCCTGCGTGAGCAGCAATGAGGTCTGCTCGTCCCTGTTGGTGGAGCAGGATCATTTTGTGGTGCTCGTGGTGTCTCGACAAAAACTAGCACGGAACGCCTGCGCTTAGGGATATTTTGTTTTCTTAATTTTTTTAAAGTGTGTGGCAGCCCCATTGCATTTGGTTTTAGCCACTAATCTGTGCTGCGTACTTCAATGCGTGCGGTGTCTTTTGCAGAAATTTTGATGCCGCTATAGTGTTATTAATGAAGTTTCTTTTGCGGGGTTTGTCACGAAATAAGAAGAATGCAAGATTGGGGTTGCTTTGCGTCTTTTGGCATTCAAACATCAACTATTTGAAAGATCTTGAGGATATAATTTTGACGAAGGTGTTATGCGATGGACTGTTGTGCTGGACACCTACGCTGGATCTAACAGAACAAGCATTTGCCAAACAGAAGATATCTTTCCGTACAACATCTTTTTTATTCCCGCTGTCCTAATGCAAAGACTCTAAAACCACTACAGACTAGGCCGTCTCCGCTATTGTCCAGCTCACAAAAACCTCCCTCGACGTGATGCCGTTTTGTGGTGCAAGCTTCAGACAGGCGTCTTTCCCAACCCCTGGCTTTATAGCAAGGTATACCCACACCTGGTGACACCAAACTGTAAATACTGCTCACAATCGGCCACCCTCATACACATGGCAGGGACGTGCCCACAGTACGTTGATGCTTCTCACACAGAAGATACATGGGAGTCCCTTCTGCATATCACTCACTCAACACAGCAACGCCGGGTAATCTCACGCGCATTGGAGGCCGCGGTGTCCCATGGGATTTCCCACTGACCTCCTCTAAGCAGCGTAACCGACCTCTCGGCCGGTCCCCTCTTTTGGGAGTAATCAAGTTTTGATCATCATCATCTAAAACGACAAATTGATTGTTAATAAGCTTCTTCTTCCCATGCATTACCTAAGTCTTTACTGTTTTCTCCTATCTGTTTGCTTAAATATAAGATAAGCTCTCTGATTTATTACTTTTAACTGTCTTTGTATTTTCTACTACTCTTTTATATATTCACCATCCACTCAAGTTCTTTTATGTCAAGGCGATGTCGAGGACAAAGGAATCTGCGCTTGCCTAAAATTTCCGGTAACAAAGAAATTAAAATCATCCATCATTACGATACTGCCTAATGCAAATCGTGAGTGCAGCTTTCTGTTGGGTCAAGGCCAACCGTGTTTAAATCTTTGTCATTCCACAAGGTATCCACTACGTTATTAAGCATAAATTTTGTGAAGTAGGATGTCATTCATTTTTCTGCGGGTAAGCGGGGTACCCACTACACATCTGCACAGTATTATGTGAACTTTATTGATGCTGCATGTGGCCGACGATGATAAATTACGGCTTACAACATTGCATTGGTGAATGAGTAGCATTAACCACCCACTTGTTGTGTAATCAGCATTGTGTAATGACTGGCTATTTTACTCTTCTGTCACGTTATGTTGCATAAACTAACACAATTCCTTACACCGACATGATGCCTGTGTGGGGTCTTTTTGCAAATAAGTTTCAAGCACACACACACAAATGTCGTTTTGTGGTAAGCACGCAGAAGACCCGGGTTCAAATCTCGTTCGAACCTGGGCATTCTTTCCAGGTTTCTACACCGACGGCAATGATGACGCTGCTCAACGCGGGAACAGGCGCCTAAGAGCTGTGTTTTAGTATAGAGTTTGACTTACCAAGTGAACTAGCAAAATTGAGCTTTCATATATTTGTGATGGTTCACGGGTGATTGTGGAAAATGAAAAGAACAAAGATGAAAACAGTTGGAGTAAACCAGTGTTCTGACTGAAGTCTTGTCTCCTTTGTCACTAGTATAGTAATGCAAATTATTACAAGCCACCTTAGGGATGTTAGGAATTTGAGAAACATAGTTATATCTAACGCTTCATTTTTTAAATGAACTACCCTACAAGCCGCGTTAGGCTATTTTACGTAGATATTAAATTTTCACTCTTGTTACCTTGGACGAGAACAATTTTTGGACAATTATTTGGTTCCCTGCATACCTTGGCTTGAGGGTCGGAGGCCTTCCCAATCTCAACGAGCTAGCCCACTCCAAGGCGCGAGGCTTCACTTACCGCGCCGGGACTTGTGCTTCTCAGACAGAGGAGTCAGTCCCCAGCCTTCATTTTAGGGACATTTTGACTACCTTCAACGAGATCACGAAGCATTATCAATAAGCCGTAGGTCCTTTCCATTGCCACACGAAAAGTTGTCTAGGCCACAGGCAATCTCTCTTCGCATGCTTCAGACGGGAACATACTCTAGCCTCGTAACCTGTAGCCGACTCCGATATTTCAGAACTTTGTCCGGACTGCCAGAATCGCAGTGATTTTAACCACTTGCTCTGGAGGTGCCCCTCTTTACAAAGAAAAAAATGAATTTTCTGAGAACTTCTTTCATTTAATGCTCACGAGTCCGGTTCTCGTACAACAACTCAAGGCTGTCCAGAAGGCCCACGATGCGGCGGTGAGGCTGGGCCTCGCCGTCCCAACTTGGGAGCGGCACGCGATCCTACACTTATAAAACGGGAGTGGAATCCTTCAGGACCCCAATAAAATTTTTTCATCCACCCATCCATCTTGTTACCTTGATAATAAGTTTAAATCTCAATAGGTTTACGCTAGACATAAAACTCCACATGGGCATTTGCGCCATCGTGCGAAGGCTTTTAATTAGATTGCGACAGGCTAGCTGGTCGACAAGCAGAACAACGGCACCTATCAAACACAAAAGTGGCAAGCTGAAGACTGCTCAGTGGTTATAACGAGCTGTCGTGCTAAGCAGCCTAGAGAACCCCACTAAATAATTTCAGGTAGTATACTTAGGGCAAGGAATGTAAATATTTCGGCACACTGGCAGTGGCACTTCGAATGATCGTTTTGAGGCACTAACGGAACTTTCATTCTAGTGAAACAGGGTTGGTCGCGGTTAAGAAATTTTCTAGCAAGCATTTCTGTGTTTTGCTGTCGCATTATATAGATCTATACTAACAACTTTGCAAGTGTATCAGGCAATCTTAAAATACAATTGGTAAGTATCGTGTCGGATACAATGATTGTGGTAGTACCTTGTCTATGTAACTCGGATACTTGCCCGAGTACTTTGTATCGTTTCGCGACACAATTTAGAAGTATATTGATCCAGCATGCAGGTAGCTACAAGATGAACCTATGTGTTAAGAAAGTCTACAAATATGTAGTCTTGAATCTCCGGGAGCAATTGGGTTTCCATTGAAATAGAGGCGTACGAGCTTTCATTTGAAAGTCGTTTCATTTGTGGCCTTTCTAGTTTATTTGCAGAAACGCTGCTGAATCAGCAAGGCGTCGTGGTGTTGACACGAACTGTGACATGTTGCACGATGGGATAAAATACATTTTATTCCTGAAGTATGACAACACTTTTACTCAAAAGCAACAATTTCTTAGAAGAAGGCACGATTTGGTATTGCTTTGCTGGGTAACAAAACTCGTCTGTGGTTAAATAAGGCACATAGTATCGTCATATCCCCCCCCCCCAACCTTATGTATGATCAACACACCGTTTTTTACGCTTGCTGCACGCAAGCAACACAATGAAAAGAGCGCTTTGAAGAACTCATCAGTGATCTCCCAACCACTCTCTTTCTTAGTTCATCAACCATCATTTCCATGTTTATTTACTACTAAAGATAAATATATGTAAATAAAGAAATGCGCTACACTATAATTTTCTTCCACATGTACGTGGGAAGACACTTCGCTTTTATTGCAAGTTCCAGGGGATGTAACTGTATAATCACACCAAAAGTAATTGAAGTAAAACCTTCAGAAAACTGTAATGAGCGGATTTATTTATTAGTATTAGTTTACTAATACTACTAATTGAGTACGTTGGCACTACCAGACTTCTATTTGACAATTGCTTAGCAAATTGAACGATTCGCACAGTACTCAAACGCGTTAAAAACGGCCTTACGGATGCGCCAGGTGTTTCATGACCTGCATATTTTGATGTCACGACATTCAAAACTGAACTTATTTTTGTGAAATTCGATTAAGGCGGCACCGATAGGTCGAAAATGAGATAGTCTATAGACCTTTTCACAGGACAGAAAAAAACGCCGTCATGCTGGGCTGTACGCGGGAATACAAAGGCTTACGTCACTGCCTCGGCAGAGCACTTTTGAGGGCTCACGCGTATTTAGCGCAGCCTAGAAAATGTTATGGCGGTGCCCAGGTAGCCGTCTGTGAAGAGGCCTATGTGCAGGCCGGCAGGAAAACCAGCACTCTCGCGACGTCAACAAATGCTCCTGCGACGTAAACTGTAAAGCTGGTTTCACCTTGCACTTGAACACATTAGGTGAAGCATAACACCTCATGCTCTAACTGCACAGTTTTTCAACGCAACAAGACGCAAAAACAGAGGTATACTTAACATGCCTCAGACTATGATAACGGACAGCGGTTAGTATCTTGGTGCCGTTGGTAATTTAGTACATCTCAGAAAAAAAAAGACTAGAAATAGGACACTATCACTTTATTCAGATTTAGTTGCAAAAATTTCCCCACCTCACCGTAGGGAATCGTGATGGATATCTGGGGTTTAACGTCCCCAAATTCACCGCATGATTATGAGAGACGCAGTAGTGGAGGGCTCCGAAAATTTCGACCACCCGGGTTTCTTTAACGTGCACCCTAATCTGGGCACACGGGCCTACAACATTCCCGCTTCTATCGGAAATGCAGCCGCCGCAGCCGGGATTCGATCACGCGACCTGCGGGTCAGCAGCCGAGTACCTTAGCCGCTAGACCACCGCGGTGGGGCGTGGGGAAGCGTGGGCAAATACGAATGCATTTCTTGCGCCGAGAGTACACGGCGTAGTAACTTTAATGGCTCCTGTTGCTAGGGGCGAGGATAAGCGCGCGCACAGCTGTTGCTGACAGCTGCCGATGCGTGGTATGGTGCGGGCTCCTGTTGCTAGGGGGCGCGGGCCCGCTGCTGTCGCTATGGGAGAGGGCGGTGGACGAATCCTGACGGACGCATGACATAGTCCGACTAAGAAATTCATTCGTATTTAAAATTGGCTGGCTTTCCAAGCACGGAATGTTTCTGGTCGATGGGAATTGGGGCTAAAGAAGTCGCTGAGCGACGAAGAGATCAAAAATGTATATCTATTATAGAAGCTGAACGAACGGAGACATAATCGACGACATCTTCATGTTTTTTCATAATCATATTTGCGTGGACGCATACACACATGTATATATAGATGACAACAAACCTCCATATTCTTTCAAATGTTAATGCACATGACTCCGTGGACCACAACGATGTAACAAAGCTTTTCAAATATTCTGTAACGCGTTGAAATTCTGCAATATTTTCTATGTATAGTGCTTATTAGAGCCACTAATTTACAAATAAATTATTTCCGCACTGTTTAATGCCTATCAGGCTAAGATTTAACACTATTTTGTTTAGTCCTAACTCATAGGCCAAAAAGCTGTGTAAATAAAGATGGACGATTGGCTCAAAGCATCGAATTGCATTGAGTGCTGTTCAAGTCCATAATTTTTTCTTGACTCTGCTGATCCATCAAGCTCAGACGTGGTAATGTCAATAACGAATCCGTGGTGCTGTTGTTCAATTTATAGATATGTTTGTAGACAGAGCTCTGGGAATAATAATAGCTTATTCAAAACGTTATAAAGCTTTATCACAGCTTTGACATGCGTAGAAACACTGGAAGAACTTTGACAGTATAGTACCTGCAGGACTGGATGTGCCATTTTGAGTTAGCACTGTTAACATTGATGCATTAGGCGTGTTCTTTGGGCTCAGTTCTTATTGTTGTTTTTTTTACGCAAAACATCGAGAAAGCCAGGCGCATCCTATCGGTGGCTGTTGATGTTTCATAGCCGAAGAGAAATGTTAAGCTAATTAACAGAAAGGTTATGTGCTAATTGATTGGAAATGACATCACCATGTGTTGTTCAGGTCCTGCAGTAATCCTGTCATTGTTGCGCTACGTGACCGTAATGCTCAAGTCCTCAAGTAGTATGTTGCATCAGTGTCACGTCATCTCATACCACGCCTTGCAATCGCCAGGTCAACGTCTACTTACTAGAAACTCAACCGTCGTCTAGTATTTAACCTCTATGCTCCAGAGCATGCAGATTCACTTCCACGCGGCATCTCAACACGAGTTCAATTTTTTTTCGCTGTCAGTCTCAAGTCATGGCGCCGACTAGCCCTGCATATTAAAAACGGCGTCAACCCTGCCAAAAAAGTTGGAATGCAGGTATAAATGTGGTAGACTATGCTTCACTAGCAAAACTGGCTACAATCCTCTGTGACTGCAGCTAACTTTCAACTTGTGTCGCATAGCGACATTGACTAGCTCGGTCAGTGTACACGTGTCATTTCCTGACACACTAAAGCCGAGATATTGGAATGTGAAAGTGTAAAAGGAAAGCCAGATGAACAAAAATAAATATTTGGAATGTTTAACATGGTGTATCCATGGGCACATACTTTCAGAGCCACTCGTACACGATAAAAAAGGACCATTATCTTCCATCAGCGTTTGCGAAAATGCTGACACCTCTTCCTCGAATTAGAGCACATCGTTTGCTTTAAGGAAGCCCGAAGAGATCGCCAAATGATAGAAAAGGAGTTTGAGGTAGCGGGTAGCGAATATGTTATCTTATAAGTTCGTCTACGGACTTGAAAAATTATGTTAAATGTTACATAAAAATTGGTACGTTGGTCAGCAAATCGCCGTCACTTTAATTCGTTCATGTTGAACCGCTAACATGTTTCTACCATAAAGAAGCCTTCTTTGAACAATAGAAAATAACTATGACAAACGAGGCTGCAACTAACGTTCTAGCCTTCATGGAACGACCTTACTGACGAAAATCATTGTGGATCAACAGCCTGGAATCACGAAATGAATAATGTAGAAATAATGTTTTTCATGAGCCGTTCGGCAGTTAACAACTTGTCCCTTGGCCTGTAACCGCTCCTACTTATGAATATGGACATAGGAGCACTTAGGCCGGCGTTCAGCTCGAAGCAACTAATTTTCTTACTGGCCAACACCTCGGCTTTTATGATTAGCTGGCTAACACGTGCTGGCCGGCGACAAAATTAGCGACAGCGAGTTGCTACCGGTATAGGCTGGTGCGGGTCATTCATATAGTGGCGTAGGGCACTGTGAATTTAGTCGGCCCATCAGTCGTAAAACAAACAACAAATATTTTCGATTGTCACACAACCATCGGCAGTTTGAGGGCCGAAAAACAAGAACAGAAGACAAGTAAGCTAGCCTGCCCTGTATCCGTGGCGGGGGTCAGGCCGGCTGACTAGAACAACAATATACAGGTTTTGTACATAGCTCCAAGACAATATGGCGTGGCGGCGTGCAGATGGGTGACACAGCGGATCCGCTGCTGTCCTACTGGTAGACGAACTGCGCCGCCTGTGCTGTGCCGTCTCCGTGCCAGTAGGCGCCGTCGGCCGTCATGGTCACCTCCTTGACCTTGTCGCAGTTTGCGAAGTACTTGGGGCTGGGCGGCGAGAATGCGCTCGGGTTACCAGTTGCCGAGTCGACCACCATGCCGTTGTTTGCCTGACCCACTGCGCCGGCAGCGCCACCTCCGGCACCTCCTCCGCCGCCGCTCGGTCCACCGTTCTCTACGTCCTGTACCGCGATGTAAAGTATTCATCGATTTGAGGAATTCGTCGCCGCCGACGTTCTATTTACAATTGCTGTTTATTAAAAGCATAGCCGTGCGTACAGAGGGGGGCTACATCATCGGTGTTGTATCCAGAATTTTTTTTCTTCGGGAGTATATAAGAGGTGTTCAACCAGCGGCGTAAATCATGGGGGGAGGGGAGACCCCAGCCCCGCCCCGGGCTGAGGTTGGGGGGGATGCCCCTTTCAAGTGACCCCTTCCCCCTCCCTTGAGATTTATCTTTCAAACGTCATATATCTGCGCGTTCAACATTTCCAAAGCTTGTTTTTCTTTTCCCAATTGCCGCTCTATTGGTTGTAGAAACGACTCGATAGCAGAATGTAATTACGAAATTTGGGCCCCCGCGTTCTTTATTCAATTTGATTTCAAAGTAGGATTAAACTTTTATATGTCTAAAAATAAAACAGACGTATATAAACGAAATGGCCGCCATGGGAAGATGTACGTGTGTCCCCTTTTCTGATTTTTCTGGATTTACGTCACTGAGTTCAAACATAATTTATGTATTTTAAAAAAAATAAATGTATATAAAGAGAGGTTGGTGCCAATGCGTGGCGCCGGTTACTCCTCTTTTTTGCACAAAAGTCGACGTCGCATATTTTCAATTCCGTACCGGTGCCAGCCAGAAAGCCACCGGATTCAAAGGCAGAGGGAAGTTGTACCCAGACCTTGCTCATCCTTACGTGATACACTCCTCGGCCGGATGGTATTCTCCGGGTTACCGAACGCTCATCGAGGTTGTGCTACGGCACGGCTAAGATTATGTCGCTCGGGGGGACGCTTGAGCTGAATGGCGGCAATTGGGTACTCCTGGGCCTTCGGAATTTATGCATGTTTGTGCGTGATTTTCTCCGTGTGCGTGTATATAGAACACGTACAAAATATAAAATTTTTAGGGGGATGGTTCAACCTGCCCAACCTCCATCCGGCCACGCCAGTGCTAATCATATAAGAAGGACGCCACGTCTTCCCTCAGTCGTTCTCTGGCATAAATTAGTTTTTATTTATTTACAAATACTGCATCTTGCACAGCAAGATATTGCAGGAGTGAGTACAACAGAAGGTAAAATACAATACATTAACTCACACTAAATCACATTTAGTCGCATTAAATATAACACAAATAAAGTATACACATTGAGTATATATACACACTGAAGTATACACACTGAATGGGTAGAACATCAGGAAAGTATGCACAGCTGATCAGTGAAGAAAGTTTGGCAATTGTTCAACGAATTCATCGTTTGACAGCTCGCGCAGAAAGCGCGGGAGACCATTCCAAGTATCAATAGTGTGAGGAAAAAAAAAAAAACTTGAAGCAATTGCTCGTACTTCGCGCCCATTGGCTTTGAAAGCGCTGTTGTGCGCTAAACAAAGACTTGTGCGGTACATCATACGAACGCAAATGTGATAAGTGCAAATCGTTACAAGGAAATGACCACAGTGTCGTGGCGCCGTGTGGCTCGTACCTGTCGTATCCAGCTGTAGTAGTTTGGTGCGGACGCCCACACAGAGGATGAGAAAAATGACGGGTCGTAGTGCTGGCCGCTAGCTGCGCCCGCTGGCGTCGACGACTGGGAAGACAGCACCGACTCCAGCTGTCCGATGTACTTGATGGCCATCCTGAGGCGTAATAACGACTGCCGGTTAGTACCGGTGTTGCGGTGAACGCCGTCAGGTGTGGTAAGATCACCTGCGCGCTCAGTCTGTTTGAAACTTTTAGAGAATGATGTTTTCTAAACCTCCCAATTTTCTTGTTCTGGAGAACCGCTAGTCTGCATGCAATACCAAAACATGGTAACTGTGAAGCGTATCCGTTAAATAAATTAAATCGTTTTGCTAATTACCACGAAAGGTTGACGGTACGGATAGGAAGAAGAGCGTAAAGGGGTCTCGGTGCTATAATGTCGGTGTTCTTGATAGTTACAACATAGCTTTAAAAGAGTTTACTAAAATGAAGTCAACAGAGAACGGTGTATATATCGTCGTAACAGATCTCAGTGAAAGAAAATAGTACCAGGCTTAAGAGAACAATATAGAGAATTAAACGTTTATTTTGAACAAGCGCAGTGTGCGCCCTCTATATAGGTGGGCGGCCTCCTTATTCTAAGTAGCCCCTTTTCGTGTATGTGCTTGTGTTCGTTCTACTGCTTGTCGCTTGTTACTTGCCTGAGAGACTCTATCTTGGAGAACTTCTTTCCGGGCGGCTTGCAGAAGGGCAGCTTTTCTCGGAGAAGGTCGAACGCGCGGTTCATGTCCCGCATGCGGCTCCGCTCACGGTCGCATGCGTTCCGCTTCTGCTCCTCGCGGCTCAGCGTGCTCGAACTTCGGGCTGCGCGTGCATAAGAACATATACAAGTGAGTTTTATATAGCGCGGAACATATAGGTTTCGTTGAGGCACATGCTCTGTACCGCACACACGAGCCCACCGAGCATTCACTAGCAGCGAACGACATGACTGTCTTCGTATCATATTTCTTTTATGACATTGTTACTTTGCTACATGGCTAGATGAAGCTCGCTTTATTTTCTCACATATAGTGCTTAGTATATAGCGCTGAGCTCAGGTAAGATCCACAGACATGACTGGCCGTAAGCGCCTTTTGTCGCTTCCCGAGGCATCCTATAAATGGGGCCACTTTGCGTCGAAACGTAACTGCGATATACTTGAAAGAACTCCTCACTTCAGGCTCATCGTCCAGATTTCAGTTAATATCGGTAGGGGTGCAGATATGTTCCTCGAATATTGAGGCTGAATACTTTTTTTTTCAGAAATGGCCCACATATGAGAGTGTCGGCTAACGTTCCAAGTGGGAATGTTAGCCGACATTTGATCACACTGCACCGATCCTTGCCGCTTCCAACTCAACTTTGCGAAACTGAATTTTCTACTGAGGCTCAGTATCCGACGTGAGGCCCTGCGAACACCGCACATTAAGCTGGCGTAATCTCTTCGTTCTACAAGCAGAAAATAATGAATATGTTTTAGTATGATCGCATACTCAATGTTGTGACTATGTATGACACAGTTTGTGCAGAAGAGATATTCAGCAGTGAGTTTATAGCTCGGCACCACGCATACGCATGCAATGCTTTCCTCCTTTTTACCCCATCAGAATAAATTTGACATGCTTGATGTCTGCAGCAGGACAACTCAAAATGTATCGATTTGACATCTCTCTCGCACTGAGAATTTGCAGGTACCCCTTTTCCTTTTTTGTGCGTAATTCCGGACAGAGCACAGTTGGTAAGCCTGAACTGAGGCGGTAAGCCTCGAGTGTTGTAAACGGCACAACGGGTTTTCAGCTATACACATGCGATACGCGGGCGCGTCATGACAAATTTCTTTCGTGAGGACCTCGCGAGTCCTTGCATGTTATACAAAAACATTTATTGAGAACAGTCAATATCTGAGCCACTTGGTTCATATTACTTGGAGGAAAGCAAGAGAAAAATCGGTACGCGAAAAAGAAGCCAGACGCACACGACGTTGGAACGCTTTCTCTTCCTTTACAGCTCTTTCTTCTCTTTCTTGCACATGTAACTATCAATTCATTGCTTCCTCTTACTTTCAAACAACCACTTTTATTCTGTCTTTCTTTGAATATTTCTATTTTTTCTCCTTTTTTTTCTATTTGTCTTGCTCTGTTTTTCTTTTCGATTTTTTTTACTCTCGATTTTCGTGTCCTTTTTTTCTGTCTCTATCTCTCTTTTTCTATGTCTTTATTTTTATCGTTTCTGCTCCCTGTTTATGTCTTTCTGCCTGTCCCTCTTTCTCTCTCTGCTTTCTTCCCTTTATTTCTTTCCTTCTCCATTTCCCTCTCGGTCTTTCTTTTTGTCTATCCTTCGTGCATTTCTTTCTATCCATTTCTCTCTCTTTATGTCTTCTATCACTGTCATTCTCTCTTGTTATGTTTTTTACCCTCATTTCTCTCTATTCTGGCTTTCTCTTTCTTTTGCGTGCTCTCTCTCTCTCTCTCTCTCGGTCACGAGTTTCCCATGCTTCGCTTCACCGAGCAGAGTTCTTGACGCTCGCATCTGCCGAATTGGTAGTGCGGTTTGCCCACTTCCCTTGCGCATGTCCACCTGAGGAGTTTTGCGCGACGGAGCAGAATTTACCGATAGCTCAAACATCTTTTCTGTTAAAAAAAGAACAGAATTCCCTGCGTATGTGCATTCGAAATCAACACCACGCCACACTGTGTCCGTGTCCCCTTTTCCTTCTTCCATTTGCCCGAATGGCCGGGTACCTGCAACTTCGGACGACGCTTTGGCAGCACGCTAGCGGTGTACGAGAGAGAGAGAGAGAGAGAGAGAGAGAGAGAGAGAGAGAGAGAGCGTGCGCGCTATAGAGAAAGAAATAAAGAAGAGACAAGAGGGCAGCAGTCGCACACGTACGCGCATATGCCGGGCTTTGACATGCTCTTCGTTACGACTGGCCTCGCAGCTGCGTAGGCGGAGCTTAGTGCTTCACGAGGCCTCGCTGAGCTGCGCTGCTGCTGTGGGCGAAAAAAACATCGGTGGCGTTGAGCGTGCGTGTGTGTATGTGCGTGCTTGCAAGTGTACATGTGTGCGTGTGCCCGTGGTTGGCAGCAAGGGTTTCTGCTTCGACCTGCGGCTCCTCCGTTTATGGGGAACGATGGACGACCTTTCCAAATTGTGTTCCGAAAGCGGGCACACGCTGTAGGCTTTGCGTATACACGATCTGCTCAAGTCCGTTGTTTCTGAAACGTAATTGTGAACAACATTGCGATGGGACGGTGAACGTCCTACCGAAGTATCGATGTTGTACTAATTATTATTGTGACAAAAAAAAGAGGGGGGGGGGGGGGTGTACAGAATGTCTCGGGCTGCTTTGAAACGCATGCAGACACTATAACGTACTAGAAGGAATACAGACAACGAAAATGCCGCTAGCTCTACCTTCTGCTCTTCTATGCTTCATTTCTAGTACGCTAAGTGGTTATCCACCCAGATAACCTTTATTGAGTACTGGTGGTAACAGTTCAGTGACCATAACCGTAGCAGGCAACAAACACATCGTACAAATGACAAATATACATATATCAATATCAATACACAGTTATCTGTCTTGTTGCGCTGTAAGTCACTTAAACAGATCACAAATAACTCGCAGGAAAAAAACAGAGGATGCTTACGCGGGAACGCCTATCTTTGTTAAGTCGTATGTGTGATCCGTATCGCATCTCTTGATCGCGCTTCGTTCTGAACACTTCTTTCAATGTCACAAGTTAGCTCAACTTTCTGTCATTCTGTATAATCTATGAATTATCGGGTATTCTCATTAGTAATCGCTCACTCTTAAAATTTCGTTCTGTCACTCTGGCTTATTTAAAACTTGGTCCAGTTGCTTCAGTTTTGAAAAAAAAAAATTGAAGTTTTCACCAAACGCTGTAGAGCATGTTTTCACAATTGAAAAGCCAACTACGCGAGTGAAAGTGAGTTCTATTTCTTATTTCCTGCTCTAGTTCGCGGATACCCGTTATGATGGTCTATATAGTGGCGATGGTGTTCGAGTGCCTGTTCGTTGCATCAAATCACTGTGGCCGCAGATCGATGTAGGTGTGATTCCAGACACCCGTAGTTAAATTTAGAAGCGCGATAAAGAGCTGCAACTGTTTGGAATTTCCCGAGTTCTCCACTATACGGCGTTCCACACAATGACGTGATTTTTGGGTCGTAAAACCGCAAAAATTAATATTGTAGTATGGTCCACTTCACAATCGACAATGCATGTCTTTGTTCTCGTGTTGGTGACAGGTACATCGCCTCGCAATGTCTAAAAAGGGTAACTAAGCCCAATGCAGTGTTATTTTTACCCGCAAACAAGTCGAATGCTTTCAGGACTTAGCGAGGAATTTCGTAGCTTAAATCCATGGAACGGGTTCTGCGTTTATTATTTGCGCATGCACTTTCTTAGAGTGAGAAATATATGTTTATAACGTAATAACATAAGATGTGACATGCTCCTTCAAACGAACGTACGAAGCGTCAATATTAGGAAGTCTAAAAATTGCTATTGCTATCGCCTGTCGGGCTGCTGCTCTTTCTTTTGCGTAACATCGCAGTACACACAAGGACACAAATAGTTAAAGTGACATGGAATATGCCAACACACGAGCTGCAGTTTGACCAACTATAGCCCGCAATATCACTTTGTTTTCTTTTGTGTATTAGATGCTTACTTCTTACGAAGCTTTACATTTATTAGTAGACACTTTACTATATAGTGTTCAATTTCTATATATATTGGGCTGTCCATCATATCTTAATGTGAACAGTGCACGTAACTGACGCGCATGGTGCACTGTTTATTTTCTGTGTTTTAAGGCGAAGGCTAAGACCCATTCAGAGACTATCGTCTTGGACTGAACGAGTTAATAAAATTCAGTTTCAATTAAAAAAATGTTCAATATGCACAGTGCAAGACTGATGAGGCTGTAGACTGTCATCATCATTACCATCACTACCAATCGTATCGCCATAACCACAGCCACCACCATGAGTATACGTTTGACAGGGTTTAACTTATAAAATGTTTCATGTATGTACGTGTAAAATCTGTTGTTTTATGAGGTTGAAATGGGAACATCCAAGTTCTTAGAGAATTGGCGTTTTGGGGCCGATTTGGTGCCTTCCTTAGGAGGTGACTGTGCTGATCATAGAAGCACCTCCGCGTCTTGTTTCACCACGGCTCTGGCTTTCACCACAGCTCCAGGGAAAGCTGGACCCGAGGTGAAGCAAGACGTGGAGATGCTTCCATGACCAACACATTCACCTCCTGAAAAAGAAACCAAATCGATCCCGAAACGTTTGGTTCTCTACGGACTTGGCTGTTCCCATTTCAACCTCCTTCATCTTCTACCCAAGCAGACAAATTTCTGTCAAAATGTCAACATTTTAAATCGGTTGTTCGTATTAAATTGAACAGTGGTGAACCCCGAAAGAGATTGTCATGAGCTTGCCCAAGAATAGTGGCAAAATTGGCACTATCTCAATACACGTGTTTTGCAACAAAAAATTGTTTGCAAAGCGGTAAGGTGCCTCACAACTAGAAGGACCGTTGTTTTGATAGGGCACGCAAAAAATGGGTCATTTTTTTTACGTTCATTGATACATTGGCTGTGCCGTACGCTTTTGTCTGGGACATGAAGGATCTGGAGCTAGCAGTCGGCTGAACAGTTTCCTTCATACAGCAGTGCAAGCACTATACGTAGCCAAATATGCATTGTGTTTCAAAAAATGTCTGTCGAAATCCTCGAAGATAAAAGAAAATGAGCGTTTGCCCTCCGCCTCTACAATCATCTTCT